GAGACAACGCGTTCTCCTGACGTGGCAACAAGCATCGACAATCCTCACAATATCTCACGCTGCTTCCTTGCTGCTGTCGCTGTATCACTATGGGCCAGAGCAGAAGCAACCCAACGAAACTTAAACATCGAAATCGCATCTGCGCCCCTTCCTCACCTGTGCAACCAGGCCCATGTGGTCCCACATCGCTCTCCAGGCATCCAGGAGGCTCACTGTACGGGTACTTTCGAGCACCTGCGCGGTGCCCCAAATCAATCCTACAGTTGCGATTGCCTTGAGAATGAATTCTGTGCCGGGTGTCGGGGGTGGCGTCATGCTGAAGGCCCTGCCCAACCGCAGAAGTGCTTGTTCTACCGAGCGGCAATGCGCCCATCAAGATCCAGCCGTAGTTCGCTGAAGTCCTGGGACAGCTCCGAAGCTGCACCTGCAAGAGAGCTCAGCAAGGGAACCACATGCCCTGTCATCTGAGCACCTGCATTGAGGTTCCTGCACCTTTCACTTCTCATCAGCCAAAGCTTAGATTCTTGGAGCGTATCTACCACATCGTGTCAACGACTGCAGAAAGCCTCTGTGGCTGCTCATTGCACGCTGTGCGGCGAAGCTGCAGTTGAAGCCGAAACCTGAAGGCTGCGAGCATCGAGCAGTCAGGAAAACTTGAGTCATTCGAGGACGAGGCTGTTTGATGCGGTGTTCGAAGTCTAAAGGTGGCAGGCGGCAGAGGATGTGCAAAAATGATCAAAAATGTGCCAGGTCTATAACATTGTAAAACACTGCATTGCATTGTACAACATTGTATAACACAGTATGACATTCTACGTATAACATCGCGCGCTAAACTGCTCAAGCCCGCAAAGATGCTCAAAGCCTGTCAAGCCGCTGACCAGCCAAGGCGTGCTGAATGCTGCCGTCACGACGAGGCCATGGCAGCGCGCGGGCGGCATAAGATGCCAGCAACGTTTTGGTTGAAGGGCTTACATTGGGCCTGAGAAGGTTGAAAGATGACGTGGACTGGCTGATGCGGCATGACATGAGGCGACTAGCTGGTTCGGTGCTGGCTGTGGTTCTGACTTTTCTGGCTAGCTGATTGGAGGACATCTCCAACTCGACGTCTCTGGGACTCGAGTCTCAATAAAGGCCACGTGCCGACACCCGAACGAAATGATGTCGAAACAACACCCGCATCTCACCTTGGAGAGAATGATGACCTGCTGGCCCTCCTCCGTCAACCCTTGGCCAAAGTACTGATGGATCCTCGGCAATGTCAAATAGGGCATCGGTATGCTTAAAGCGCCCTTAAGAGCCGCAGACTTAGATTTGTGCCCTGTCAGTTGCACACTTTGACTCCTTCTTATGCTGGGGCTTCTGCAGAGCACGCGCTTGACTCCATGAGTGCTTGTCATTGCCTGACTCTGCACGTCATGGTTCAGAGGATGTGGAGCGAACATGACTGAATACTTACATGACTCGTTGACCTTACACGCTCGGTGGTGAGTAAGCCTCACGCATTTCATATCGGCCCACGGATTGCTAAGTGGAACAAACACCAGGCCACCAACGATGGCGTACTCCTTGCTGCTGCAAGCCGTCAACTCTCGATGGAATTGGGTCGGAAAAGCTACAGCTATTGGGGCAGCCCCTTCCGTTTGCAGCACTGCCTTTGAAGGATTCAGGACGAGTCTTGCTTGATAGCTTGGGGGCGATAGGTGATGAGAGTATGTTGCAGCTACAGTAGCTAGAGTAGCCTCTGCAAACCCTGACAAGAAGACACCTCTGATTCACTCTGATTCTCGACTTGAAGGCGCGCATGCGCGTGCTTTGGGAAGTACAGTCTGTGGGTTCCTCGCCCTGACCCCATCACCATGCTTCGGGGACCACCAAAACACCCCCAAAGGCCGCACTGTCGCACAGCATTACTGAGTTAAGCCAAGGTTGTTGCAAGAAAATCGGCCACACTGCAAACACTTCCCCACCAGTGCGGTCTCCTGCAAACAACTCCACTTCACTGCAGCCGTTAAGGCCAGCACGGCAGCGGCGTCGTAACCATCCATGCGGGGAACAAGCCATCTGTCCGGCCTGGCGACAACCGCAAGAAGGATCAAAACGAGAATCGGACAGGCCCGTTTGAAGCAAAGTGGTGCGCAGGTCGTCCGTGACAGAGCCCCCACGCCTCAGGAGAATGTCCACCTGCGAGAGGATACGGGGCAAGGGCCTCTTCGGGGCTATCAACCCAAGGCTCAGCATGAAACCGTTTCCACGTAGAGGCATTCAGCCTCCTGCTCGTTCTTGTCACGCCACACCTTGAGACGAACAGAATCCTGTCCTGCATCGTGTCAGTTGGAGCAGTTCCCAACATGTCACACACCCTCAGTTTGCTAGGGGGTGGGGTTGGGGCCCCATTATAGACCCCCAACTGTGGCTTGCCTGGGAGCTGGGTAGAATCTTTGAAAAACCCATCTCAGACCCCTTGTTGGTTATGGACTTGTCGGTGTTGGCTGTGGTTTGGTTCTCTATCTAGACCACAACGGAAAGGTCGTGAGACCCTTCAGTTCAGGGTTGACGTAAAATGGGTAAGCTGGGAAAGGTCAAAAATGGTCCTACCCCCATTTCAGACCTCCGATTTCCTGACCCTCAAGGGTCACCATTCCAGACCCCCACAAACTGAGGGGATCATGTCACATATGTCACAACGTTGCGGTCCAGCGCTGCGCTTGGTAATCAGGTGCTGGAAGTGAATCCGCTCCTTGCCCAGAGCTTAGCATGAATCCGGGCTCGGGAACTCCTTTCACCAAGGGCCCAGCATTGTCTCGGAGGGGGACGGTGCCGTCCTGCCAAAGCAGAATGATTGGAGAAAGCGTATTTGACCAATGTCACTGGCCACTTTCGAAACCGGGTGAGCGTCCTGGCTAATCTCCACACCATCAATCTCCAAAAGCACGTCATCTTCCTTCGACTGAAGATTTCAGGGTTCTTGGGGCAATCTGCGGTACATGTGCATGCACAACACTTGCACATGCAAAGCCTCCCTCTCTAAGCAATTGGGGGAAGAGGGGAGCACATCAAAAGCAAAAAACATCCTGCAGCTTCTCATTTGAGGATCCCAGCGGCCAGACCTGTCGGTGAGAAAATCGGGTGCTCAGGCCCTTTCGAGTATTGAGTTAACTTCTTTACCGTCTTTACCTTTTGGATGAAGAAATACAACAATGAAATCTTCTACGTCACCATTTCTGGAACCAGCCTTCGCCACGCGGACTCCGGCAGTGCACCCCTGGCAATATCTGGCAATCATGAGACGCGTCATGAGCTCTTGTAGTTTGCAAAATTGAGGGTGCACCCCAAATGTGAATCTGGCCTCCGCGCAATTGCTTTCAGGACTTTTCTCTTCCAGACCCTCGAATGCTCCGCAGTCCAAGGCCAGGGATCAGAATGCGAAGCGCCAGGATTGACGCTTCTCAAAAGGGCTCCCGCTTGCTTCTCCATTGGCCTGAAAGAGACAGGGCCGGTCAATCCTGGGCCAGGTCTACAGAATGCTGCAGAACCTCCCCGCAGAGGTGCAAGCAGCAGCCGGGGGGACAGCTACAAAAGCACAGCCAGAAGCCGGTGTACTGAGTGTACTTTCAGACTATAAGACTGTACAGTGGCAGCTCAAGGCCCTGCAGTGACGAATCATCTGTTTTGTCTACTTAACCTCTTCTTCAGCCTCCCCGGCAAGGCAACAGCCATTGGCATTGTTCAGGAGGTTCAAAGCCAAACCCCCCTCCCTCGGGGCACGATCAGTACAGGATGGCCATTTGTTGGGGGCATATGGAAGGCGAATAAAGCGGAATGGTAAGCAATGGCCTGTCGAGTCAAGGATTCGGGCAAGGAAGTGCGGCACGGCGCAATGGGCTCTGAGGGAGAAACTGGCTGCTGCAAAAAAGCACAGCATGAGACGACTGTGCTAACGAAGCCGTCTGAAAAGAGGGTACACCTTCAACGATCTGGTTGCATCGTGCAACCTTTGCTTCTATGATGCTCCGACATACTCTGACCAGAAAGGCTGTCAACTGCGGCATCAGAAGGCATATCCTTGCAGCTATGCGGCGGTGGCCACGCAGACTGTGCTTCGAACCGAGCTACAGCGCACACGGTTCGTCGTCACAAGACATACTGCTGGACCATCAGTACTGAGTACCTCTGTGAAGCTTACAAGTACGATGACACTCATGCTGGAGCATTAGGGTTGCACGGCTGTGCACAGCAAGCAAGCTAGACTTGTGCTTGGACAAGCTCAAATGGCCACGCAGCAAGCCGCCAAACTTCCAATTCGCGTGCAACCTATATGCCTCAATGATGAGGTTGACCATGCTCTCCATCAAAATTTGTCATCCTGTACAAGAGACCATCCAACAGGAACAGCTCGACTATCTTGAATGCGCGATGTCTTCATGGCTCCCGGGGCCATGAGCCGCTTTTCGTGGAATCGCAGTGTGAACGCGAAATGGATGCAGAGTCAACCTCTTGAAACAGCTCGGTCTGTCGACCCTTCGAGATAGCTGCTAAAGTAAGTAAGTCTATAGTATGACACAACTCAAACAAATATTTTTACCCAGATGTCACCAGTAGAAGCCAGCAGCATCAGACCTACAGTCAGCCAACACCCCGACTGCTGCCCATGCTGCCCAACCACTCAAGACTTGCAACTACTTACGAGAGATGGAAGTTGCTGGGAGGAATACGTGAAACACGACAAGTGGGTCATCCCTTGCTTGGGTTGATGTTCATTCAGGAGTCATGGTCCGCAACTCGAGAGAACATATTTAATGAAAGAAATGCTGTGAATACGATCGCAGCTATGGCTTTGCTCCACACAGGGTCGGTGCGACCGCATTGCAATTAAACTCGCCAAGAACTGGCAAGTAAGAAGGATTAATGCGCCAAGTTCGCATCGCGAACGTGGCGGTACAGCCTTGAAAGGCCTAGGACAAGTTTGGCTTTGCGGCAGCCAAACTCAGCCTCATGCCTCAGCCTGGCTTCTCACTTCCTCCAAGTTTAAATACACGCCCAAAACGCCAGGAAATGCAAGACATGCAAGAACTCTTCGTTTCGCTCTCTTCTTCTTTGCTTGCTGCGCTCTTTTCCATACGCTCCCCCAGCCATCTCCAGCGCCTCCGTGGCCGGGCCTCCGACGGGGCGCGCGGAGCTTCTTCGAGGGCGCAGGGAAGTCCAGGCGATCCCCGGTACCTGAAGGAAATTCGCCTCGGCTTCCGGCCGAGAGGCGTCTCGAACAAGCAGACCAGCTGATCTGGTCCTCTTTCGCCCCTTCTTTCCCCGCGACAAACCCGCCCTCCAGCACTGCCCTGTCTAAACCTCCCTTTATAATTCTTTGAAGCACGATGAGAAGCATTCACGTGCATGCGTTGCAGGTTGCCTTCCAGCATCACGAGCAAGACAAGTTTGAAAGGCGAAGGTTGGAGGGTCTTCGGGCTTTTTTTCTTTGAACTGAAGCCTCGTACGGACATTGTGAAATCGATGCTGTCAGAACGGAAATTGGCACGAAGGACTGGATGAACTTCCTGGTCTTTGGCGATCGCGAGACACGCCGTCCCTTGGCTACCTACACGTACTCCGCGAGATCCTACGCTGCCAAGTTGTTGTATGTTCTCTATTTTCCTACGTTATATGCTCTTCGTCTTGCCAGGTCCTGCGACACTTCCCGGCCTTGCGCAAAGATCGCGGGCTTGAACTCGTCGTTCACACTGCTGTGCATGATGGGGCTGTCCCTTGCATTCATTGGCATTTAGAGGTGCTTCAAACGTCAAAAAAGATGCGACTTGAAAAACATCACTGTTGGATCTTGCCGTGGTGCTCTGCACATACGCAATGCCACTAAGATCAGACACTCATCTGGAAACGCTTTCTTGGCCCAGGCCCAACCTGTATCGATCCACGTGCGCTTGCTGCCCTTGATGGGGCCCGCTCCAGCTCACGCTGCACACCTGAGGCACGTGTCACCCAGGGTCACCCATCCCCACAGTTCAGATGGACACCAGCTACAAAGTCCAAAGCGCCCGCTCCCTGCCTTCGCGCTTGGAAGAACCCATCGTGTGTAACCGTCGAAAACCTTCCAAAATGCCTCGCCAGACTCACACTTGGGCAGCACATGCCACAACATGCAACACCCACTCCCAGCTCACAAGCGGCCACCGTGGCGTGTGCCCGTCGTTCATCCCAGCCCAAGACCGCTCTTAGCATCTCTCAGCATCTCTCAGCCTTCACCTGCTTCTCGTCTACCAGGTTCACCTCATGTACGGAAAACGCAGCAAAGCACATGGCCGCGCATTGGCTCCAACCCAGCCGACAGTGCCAAACTTGACCTTTTGTCGCATTGCACATGCGTAGGCCAACTGTGAGGTCAAGGGGCAAAGGCATACCCCAGGTTTGCTTTGGATCGGAAATCCTTGGCTTCGTTGCTCTGGCAGGCGATCATTGCAGCCAAGCGGAGTGAGCAATTAACCGTCATCGCAGCGAGCGTAGCAACAAAAACACAACGTTCACGCGCTCTGGGTACCGCATGGTTCTGCTGCAGCACTGCACCGGTGAACAAAATCACTGGCCGAGCTTCGATCGGGAGGTAAAGAAAGTCGTACTTGCCCTGGGCAACAGGCAACAGTGGGCAACGCTCAACAACGCTCGATAACGCTTGAGAACGTTTGCCGAACTTTACTCTACACAGATCGGACAGGCCCAAAGCGCCTGTCCAGCACGACCCCCAGTCGCCAGCCTTGAACCCCTCCTTGTCCATCATGGTGGTGACCATAGCCCGCGTGTAATTGTTGGGAAGATTGCCTTGAGCTCGAATCCAAGCACAAGCTGGACAGCTTGTGTCAAGGGCTTAAGCAGAGTGCACACTCGGTGCCATCTACAAATCACTAATCCAAAGCGTTGCTTCTGGCTTTGCTTCTAGCTTTGCTTTGCTATGCTTTGCTGTGAATACGCTAACTCCCCCCCGCGTTTTCCGGCCGTTCCGAGCCCTGAACGCAGCATCACCGTGGTCCGGCCCTGCGAGTGCGAGCTCTGCGAGGAGCTCTGCGAAGAGCTCTGCGAGAGCGCAGAGGGAACGCCCGCGCCGTCTGAGCGAGAGCTCAGAGAACGTTCAAACACGTTGAAACACGAAAACGTGACACGTCACACCATGGGTTGCACTCCCGTACTCGAGCTGCATCACACACACACACACACCATATCCGCCTGACGGCTGCGGGGTAACGAAGCCCGGCCTGCACCATTGGACAGATACTGCATCTTAAGCTGAAAAGCTCAAATACTTGCAGCGAGATGCAAGGTGGGCATGCCCACCACGTACTGGGCCAAGAGCTGGTCGAAGGAAGGCCTCCGAAGCAAGGCGTTCTGAATGCAGATTCGATTTGGGCACGCATTTGCGGGGCCGTGAAGAACCTCTAGCAGACTCTAACAGATGTGGAATGTCTCATGGAGACATTCCGGGCAAGTAAATACCCAGCGACCTGAAATTTAGGGGTGAGTGCACTCCACTCTTCCGGCCCAACGATGAGACCACAAACACATTGCCCCTCCTTTGCAAAAGGAACCCGCGCCAACCCTCAGCAACACCTCGTCGTGAGCCTATGACATGGGGGCGAACTCCATTTGGGGGGGGGGGTGGGGGTGGGGGGGGGGGGGCGGGGTGGCGGGGGAGGTCGCTGCTAAGGGCCACGTACATAACCTAATCTAGAGTCGAGGGACTCGCTGCTCCCGGACAGACTGGCAGCTTCTGCGGATGTGCCGGGTACGTAGAGGAAGATGGCATGAGATAATAAGCTCCAGAAGGAAACCAGACCTGCCTGTACATGCCCGGAGCTCCCAGCACAGGCATCATAGGCGGAGGAGCTCGGCCCACTCTGGGGGGAGTCTCATCCTCACGATGTGACAGCTGAAGCAAGACTGGCAAGCGATGTCAGACGTCAAGCCACCTCGTTCAGCAGTGCAGAGATCAGCAGCCGACTTCGTCCACTGGGACCGGAGGGCTCCGAGCCCTGTTCAATGGCCATGCGAACCTGGCTAACCTGATTGCCTCGATTCTGAATGCTTCTCCGGGCCTCGATCTTGTCCTTCTCACATGCGTGGGACTTGCCCCCAAGCAACACTGGAAGTTCCTCTTCACCCTCATCCTCCTGTCGCAGGAGACTCGTAGAAGTGACTGGCACAACACGCACAAAGCGGCTCAGCCTGGTCGATCGGCCCTTCCGTCTTGGAAGTTGTGGATCTTATCAGGTCGATGGATCTCCTCAGCATGCCGAAGATTGCGGAGCGGGGACATCTTAACACTGTGAAGTCTTTCAACCAACAAAATGCAGTATTGGATAATTAGTGATAAATGGCCTTTGCCTCAGAAATGGGATTGCAAGGATTTACTAGCTTCGCAACATGACAACCGGTCATTTCACCAAGGGGCGGATAGTCAGGATACTCTTCCGTCTCCAGGTCCTTTGACTGGACTTGCGGTGAGATATCAACATCGTCTTGCACTGCCTGGCAAGAGACACACACCCACACACCCACACACACCCACACACACCCACACACACCCACACACACCCACACACACCCACACACACCCACACACACCCACACACACACCCACCCACACACACACACACACACACTCAGGTAACCTTCCTGACAGCCCGTACTGGTACCTCTGATCTGCGAGCCACGTCAGCTTAGACGGGCTAAGCCTGCTGTCACTGAAGCACATCATGCTCCTGAATACCTGTGATGTTTCAAACTGGTGTTGACATTGAAGAGAACTATGAAAAGGAAACTTGTATCGGCAGGTTGGGTCCCGTTTGCCATTTGCAGGTACGCCAGACTGATCTGGTATCTCCCAGAATGACTAGCTTCGTTGGCACAAGTCATCATCCTGGGCTTGTTTCCCCTTTTCAAGATAAGAAATGAGGTTGACTGTGAGTGAAACCCTTGGTTACAGGGCTGGACACACACCAGAAGCCATGAAGGCAAAAGATTGTGCACACACACACACACAGAGCATCACACGGGCGCGACAAGCCAACCACCGCCTCGTCGTCCACCACGGATTTGCCACTGAGCTGTCGGCCAAATCGTGACGTGATGACCGAATCCTGGCGGCAGATGACACTTGACATCACATGATGGCGCGGCTGGCCAGGTAGCGGATCTTGGCAACACAAGACTCTAGAGCCCCCGGAGCTCGGCCAAGGCTCTGAGTTGTAGGTCGCCGGCAAACCCCTCGGAGTAACGTCCTCCACCACCTTGCCAAGACTGGATTCTTCACACCGAATGCTTGAAAGGATCGATGGCTGTAAGTAGATGTGAGTCGGTCACGGCGATGTGTGTGCGTGTGAACAATCCAGTGGCTGGCAATGTCTTGATCAGTTCTTGCGGACCTCCAAGAACGTCTTCTTTACAATGACTTTGTCTGTTCCTGGCAGAGCGGTCCGAATCCCCAAAACTTCTCAAAACTTCTTCACGGATTTCACGGCTTGCTGCGAGTGCCTGTGTCCCCGGAGGGGAAAGGAAGGCGCAGCCTGAAGCGATGGTGGGGCGGAGGAGCGCCGTCTTGAAGGGCATAGCGCTCAACGCTGGGAAGCACTTTGCAACCTACAATCATCAGGGGCTTATGCTGATAAATCATAAGGTCCGAGGCACGTCTCCATGGCCTGCGGCGTTCGGGTCGGCGCTTGGTCTTCGTTTGAAGCTCTTGGCCGCTGCCACGGGCAGCCATGGGGCATCATGGTGCACGTTTGGACCGAAACGTTCAAGCGGCGAATGCGCGCATAGTCGAGAAAATCGAGTATGCAAGTGTACGACAACGGCATCCAGTGAAGCCGGAGAGCCTACACAATGAAATTGGCCCGTCAACTAGGCTATCCCCACTGTCACCGGTACCTACACGCTCCTGCAAAGTAGGCCCCAGATATCCCCGAATCAGCACAACGATCTGAAGCTGTGAGACTTCTGATCCGAAATTGCCCAACAACAAAGAAGGCCTCCGGGAGGCCCAACATCCGCCGCAGGGGATGGCTTTCCTGTAGTCCAGGGGTGTCAAATGTCCAGGCTCTGAGAAAAATCCGTGCCACTCGCGGAATCTCACGGAGTCCAGCGTCTGCACTTTGCCAACGCCCAGGGAGGAGACACCGAGGTAGCCCTGAGCAAAGAACATGCCCTTCTGCCTTGTATTGCCTACTCTGACTTTACCCTTACGTTACTCTTACTTTACTCTTACCTTACTCTTACTGTACTCTTACTTTACTCTTGCTTTACTCTTACTTTACTCTTACTTTAGACTTGCTTTACTCTTGCTTTAGTCTGTGATGCTAGGTGGCAGATGTGTCCTGTGCAGGATGCCGCTGTGAGGACGGCACTCTGAGAAAATACGTTGGACACATTTGGACTGACACGGGCCTCAGTGACATCCTTGTGAGAGCAATCAGCTGAGCACCTGAATGAACAGACGGGCCTTCGCAAGCTCGGGACCGGCGCCTTGGGTGCCGGAGCCTCGCACAAAGCTGCGCCAAGCAAGTGCCAAATGGCAGCAAGCACGGGCAGTTTGAATGCAACCACACCATCCGAATGACCCAATCTGAGCAAAAATCTGCACAGAGATTATTAGGAATGAACGCGTTGGACAGATTCATGGGCTGCCTTGGATGGATCAACTCTCCAAAACGGCTGTTTGCACAGGACGCCCTTCTTCTACACCCTCTTGGGATGTCTCTGGAAGTACAGCATGCCCGAGCCTGTGCAGGAGATGAACTGCTCCAACACCTCAACACATAGCGACAAAAGATGTTGCCTCTCAAAAGGAAAGCGGAGGCGGAGGAGGAGAGGGGAGGAGGAGGAGAGGGGAGGAGGGCGGGCGGAGGAGGGCGGGCGGAGGAGGGCGGGCGGAGGAGGGCGGGCGGAGGAGGGCGGGCGGAGGAGGGCGGGCGGAGGAGGGAGGGCGGAGGAGGGAGGGCGGGGAGGAGGGCGGAGGAGGGCGGAGGAGGGCGGAGGAGGGCGGAGGAGGGCGGAGGAGGGGTAGGAGGGGGAAGGGAAAGAGGGCCAGGAGGGGGAGGCACAACGAACAAGCAAAGTGTGGGAAGCACGAGTGCCTGCGTTGGAATGATGTAGCCGATGTTCGACGCCTCATGCGTGCAGGCATCAGAAGGAATGAAATACGGTACACTGCTTCATCACGGGATCAGGAGAAACCACTGGCCTTCGAGCGTTACCAAAGGGCTTTGGGGTTCACAGGCTTTGGACAAAACCCAAGCACTTGGATTAACGGCTTCAACCCTGCACCGAGGATGCACGTCCTGTGCACAGCTGCGCTAGCTACTTCTGATGCCGAATCTTGTGAGCCCTGGGCATTTTTCAAGTGGCTTGCCGCCACACCCACAATCTTACCATGGCTTCCCAACACGGGGCCACCAGAGTTGCCTTCAAGAACAAGCAGCAAGCAGAAAGTGCAACAAGGCTGCAAAAGCCATCAGTGAAGATGCCTGGGTTAATTGCCGCATCGATCTGAATTCGCAGCAGCCCATCTAGGTTCACGTCGATACCTCATGCAAGTACGTCATACAGTAGCCCACAGCTTGCAGCAGGCGGCTACGCCTCCCATTGGCTTCAAAAATGAAATCCGAAACACAAGCTGCGGTGGCTAAGTCCTCCACGCGACACGACACCCCGGGTAACAGAGATATTCTCTCCGCCCAGGGGGAACCCAATACACCTTCGCATCCGACTGCTGGAAGTGTTTGCTGCTGCTTGCTGTATTCGCCTCTGCCACTGGCCCAGCGGCGTCTAGACCAGCATCTGCCCAATTCGCTTTAGGGGAGCCGTCTCATGTCGTGGGGGGAGGAGGGGGGGGGGGTGGGGGTAGGGCAAAAAAATGACATGGGCTCGGTCCCCTTGACCAGCCCCTGGTACCCTCCCGGCACCCCGGATTGGTAGTTTGCCTCTTTCCCCTTCATCCCTGAGCTCGTGCAACTTTTTGTGGGTAATGTGTGTCTTTTTATGTTGGTGTTCCTTTGCCTCCTCTCTTGAAAAACTTTTGAAAAACTTGGATTTGGTGGCTTGTGATTTTTGCTCTGCGGTGATTCCTGTCTTTCTTTTGTAGCCAGCTGTGTATTTTCTTGCATGTGCTCCTTCGGCTTAAGGTTCACGTTCTGGCAGTGCTCTGCTACCATCCCAAAAAGAGAAAGTCACAGTCCTCGGTAAAATAAGAACGAAAATAATGACCTGCTTTCCCGGATACCCCCTTGGCAATTGGGCACTGCTTCTGAGCCGCCGACACGCACACCCCGTGGGTCGGGCAGGCTCGGCTGCCGAGGCGGCGCACGCAAGCGCTTGAAATGAGCTTCATGTTCAAGCATCACGCTACGGTCTGACTGCGACGCAACTTCTTTCCAGCCACCCTTGTTTCTGGCATCCACTGTTGTTCTAATATTGTTCTACATGCGGGCTCAGGTGCGTCACAGTGTCGTCCAGGTTCGGGATGTCTCGTGACCATTTCAAGGACTCCTCAAGTGAGCCCGCAGGCATATGCGGACATTGCAGACAGTGGACTGCACACTTTTACCCGAGCTGGATGTTCAGTGAATAAAGTTAGCAGTCTGGACTTTAGGCTAGAGAGAACCGGAGCGCACCAGTCACGAAATCAACCCGCTCCTTGCCCTTCCAGAACTCATCCTCTACGGCGAGTATCGCCAAGTCGCCTTTCCGCACAGCGGTTTCAATTTGCATCCGTAGTCCATGTCTTTGACAAGAATGTTGTGTGACTACAAATTCAGTCTTGTCCATGGCTTTGCAAAAGATGATGAAATCTCCCGAAGGGCCACTGCTGCCATATGTTGAATCAAAATGAGACCGGCGAGTATTCTCAGGCTACGGTGCATAGGCAGCCAAGCAGCATGGGAGACCCACGGCCACCACCCTGCAAGCTGAGACGAGAGCACGGAGCATGGCAGCAGGGCACTCATTGCAAAAGACTGCACACACATAGGGGCTCTGCAAGAGCTGGCGAGCTGCTTGGGGCTCCGCCGTGGCGTGTTCCATTAGACGGATCGGGCTGTTGAACAGCCCAATCCGTCTGATGGAACACGCCACGGCGGAGCCCCAAGCAGCTCGCCAGCTCGGCTGTTCGTGCTGTTCCCGGCAAATTCGCGAACACATTTGCCTGACTGGCTTTGAACGTTTGGCCAGTGGCTGGCCATCAAAACGCCCGCCATCTCGCCGGCACCAAGTCTGCTGAACCACTCCTCCCCCGTCGGCCCCCTCCCCACCACCTGCACCACAAAGACCTACCATCAAAAGTGGCAAAGCAAATTCACGGACCTCAAATTGTCTTATCAGAAAAAAGCGTCAAACGGAAGTTGACCTGAGGGCCAAGCATTGGCGAAGTGAACCGTAAAAACTGAAACTCCAGAGGGCTTAGCTTCCAGCCTTATTGTCGTGAACGCGGTGCGTTTACAAACAGCATGTGGACAAGTGTTGTGCCGAAATGTCCCGAATGCCAAGCCTCGCATTCCACTTGACCGGTGGCCCAACCGTCGCACGGACGAGCACCGAGACAGCGCGATGCACTACATGCGCATTGGTGACCACAAGCCTGCGGGCAGAGAGGCATAGGGAGAGATAAGCAGAGACAAAGCAGAAGAGCTGAAGCCGGAACGAGAGTGATACAGAAACAGAGTCGGAGACGCAGATAGACGCCCCCGATAGACTCGCAGATAGCCAGAGAGAGAGAGAGAGAGAGAGAGAGAGAGAGAGAAAGAGAGAGAGAGAGAGAGACACGCCGTCCGAGAAGCACATGCAGAAGTCCAAAAGAACACCCTTCAAGCGCGTGTCGGTGGCCTGCCATCGAGGAGGAAGCCAGTGCCTGTGGAGGACTGCTGGCCTCACTTGGCATTTCCGCACGGTGCAATGCAAGGACACGGTGTGCCACCACTGAGGGACGGGCTGTGCTTGCGCCAGGGGTCAGAAAAGTTGCATTGGACCTGCTTAAACGAGACCAGTTGGGCCCGCAAGGCTGGTATCAGGCTCTAGGTTCCACTGTTCCACGAACGCTACGCACCGGACCTACCTGTGAACCCCAACCCTCAGCCCTAGTGCGTAATGACGTTTTACCTTTCAAACCTCTTGGCGGTTGCAAACACCTCTCCAAAACCCGAACAAACCCAGCATCTCAAACACGAACCTCATAAGCGACGACGTAAATCTGAACGCAACCTACGAGTAGCGTGTGCCCGTAGCACCAATGCCACAGATTCGGCACCAGTAAATTTCAACCCTAAATCCTTCACACGCAATGTAGACGCTTAACCCTGAAGCTTTTATTGAAGCCCCCAACCCGACGTCTGCAAAACGCACAAACTTCACAGCCTGTCCTAAGCTTCCTGAATTTTGTAGTATCGAAAGCAGGACTGAGCAGGACTGATGATCAGCCAAGACAGGCGACATTCACTGCGTTTGTGACTCTGGCAGGAGTCCACGCTCCAAAGCTCCCGTATGTGGTTTGGGATAAGGCCTTGTTTACGCGGGCGAAGGGTTCTGCCAGAAAATCACTGGAAAACAGAACGGGCCTAGAACGATAGCTATGATGTCATTCCAAATTTGGCCTAAGGGCCTATCACAATCCACCATGTCTAAGGTCAGCGACCATACTTATGTTGTAGGACCTTGTTCCTAAACAGCCTTTCCCTCAGCATCAAAGTTCAGCGTTTGCGCAGATCAAACGATGCCCGTGCTGCCCTCTTCACAAAGAGCTTGCAGACGGAGCCCGTGCCCGCTGAGACACCGCGGCTGTGCCGTGGACCTCAAACGGGGTGCGAAGCAGACACTGAGATGCTCCAATGCGCTCCACTGATGCTCTGTGGAACTCCAGTGAGTTGCGATCAGACCTGCGACATGCTCAGCATGCTCTGCGACATGCTGTCACCGCTCCTCCTCCTCCTCCTCCAGTTCGAGGACGCTTGGAGGCCCGTGCAACCAGCTCGTCACCTGGCAGCATGCCGGGGCAGCGTGCCGGGGAGAACAGATCATGGAAAGTGAATAAGCGGGAATAAACTCAGGGCAACTCAACCACTCGCACAGCTCAGCTAATCGACACTTGCGCCTCCGTCCGAGCCGCCCGATTCGCAGCTTTCGGCCATGAAAGGGTTCAGCAACAAATTCAGAGTGATGGCACGTTCTGCACAGTCAAGTCTGGCTGCTGTAGAATGTTGCAGAGTTCCAGACCACTGTGATGGCAGATATTGTTTTCACCCTGCGCTTGGAACTGTGGCAATTGGCGGTCGTCAGCATGGAATCTGCTGACACGGTTCAAGTTAAAGGTGTTTCATGTTTATTCATGTCATGTACAGCGTTCAGATCGAAGCGATACTTGGGACACAACAACGGCCAACACGTCACAAGTCTTGCAGAGTCCAGGAAACCCTGTGTGTGAATCTGCGCTCCAATCTAGTTGCCCTGGAGCGACGCTTCGATACATCACTCAGTTTGGGGCGAATGGGAGACTGGTCCGGCGAGGGCATCCTGGCACTTGAGAAGTCCCAGTTTAGACCAGAATTGCGGTACGAGTACCGGTACGAGTATGTACCGGTATACAAGATTATACAAGTGTACGAAGTTCTCTGTCCCTTTCGTCCCGTTTTCTCGCCTTGATGGGTCAGGCCGAGGAACCGCGATGAAGTTGTCACAGCCTGGTCGAGACTAGAGGAGATCAAATGGACCGCAAAAATGAGCTGGGGATGTCAAAACAAAATGTAAAGTGCAAGCTGTTCAAGTTGCCTAGCCCTCGCTTCCAGAGGTGCTGTGCGCTTTCCGACAGGCCTGGAGAGTGCACAAGACTCGGCCTTGGAAGCTGCTCAGAAGAGGCCGACACTCGGACACAACGACAAGCGACAGCCATTCTTGCAGCCACCTCTGTGCCACCTCATTGCCTCATGTTGCAGCTCATCGCACCTTCCGACGGTCTGAGTTTTGGGCGCGGCCGCACCGAGCGCGGCATGCGCTGCGACACCCTGCCGCATCTGCGTGGTGGCCTCTGCCAGAGAGAAAAAACAAAATACACATCTCCCGGACATGATGGTCTGCCTTTTCGGCATCTTTCTATATCTCGCTGTGCATGTGTGGCATTGACGTGCTGATAACTGCTGTGGGGTGCAGCACGTGAGGGATGTTTCAAATCTCCAACCCAGCTTAGCGAGCCATCTCGAACGTAATTAGATGATTATCGGAAAGTGCACCAGAGGATGCAAGCAACAAGCTCTCGGAGTCGAAGTCGTTTCCCTTTTGCATTGTTCTAAAATAAGGAGAGAGGGAGATAGAGGAAGTGCTGGCAAATCTTGGTGAAGCTGGCAACTCAGTGTGAGCAAAGCAGCAGCACATCACCTCTGCAGCTGAAAGCCTCTGAGCCCAGCACCGTCACGGGCTCAGCTCGAAGGAAGACCTCCGAGCTGCGGACCTGAGGGAATGAAGTAGGACGAAGGAAGAAACAGGACATTGCATATCTGACATATCTGAGATTTGAGATGCAAAAAACGGAAAGAGAGAGAGAGAGAGGAACAAAAAAACAAAACAACGGCGCAGAAGAACAGGGGAAAAAACACGCGCACGCACACACACACACACACACACACACACACACACACACACACACACACACACACACACACACACACACACACACACACACACACACACACACACACTTTCCACGGAGCGAGCGGAGCGAGCTCGCGGAGCTCGCGCAGCTCTCCCCTCTGCGCTCCAATTCTGGTTTTTGACGAATCCTTTCTTGAGTGTTTTTGGCTTTCCAAGCGCGAGGTTCCTATCTCTGACTCTCAGAGCCGGCGAAACCGGGGCCCCAGGCATCTGGAGTGTGCAGCGGCTGGCCCTGGCAGAACATCCGCTCTGACCCCGGCCTCTCAATGTACCCATATACTGCCCGTATCTGCCGGTACGAAACATCCCAGAATCCGGAGTACCTCTTGAGTCCCGGCACACGTACATGTAGACTCTTTTCAAAGCTTCTTCTTCTACTCAGCCGAGAGGTCCCCCCCTCTCTCTCTCTCTCTCGCTCCTCTTGCATGAGGCCCGGCCTCGGCGATCGACGCCACGACGTGCGAACTGAAAGGGTGCTTGAGAGAGAAAGAGGGATCTTGAGAAATTGAGAGAATTGTTTTGAGAGAGGGAGGGGGGACACGAAGGGACACACAGCACAAGGAGACTTGACCTTGTCGTTGTCTTCGCTTGTGGTGGTCTTCGCTGCTTTTTCCCTTCTGCCGCAGTGATCCGCTCGCCCGAGGGCTCATTGCAAAGCTGCAGTCCTTCTGGTCCGGCAATGCAAGCCTTAAGAAAGAAATAACCCGCATGTAATCAGAGCGCAGAGGTGAGCTAGGTCCTGGAGCTTCACCGCTGCGGAGGGACAATCGGAACGACAGCCACACGGCCAAGGTCCTGCAGAAGCACAAAAAAAAACACTTCGAAGAGCGCTGGTGACGCCAAAACGTAGCACTGCGTGGTGCACTGCGTGGTGCACTGCGTGGTGCACTGCATGGTGCACTGCATGGTGCACTGCATGGTGCACTGCATGGTGCACTGCATGGTGCAATGGTGCTGCAGGCGCAGATCTGCGCAGCGCAGTCTGGCTCTCCTTGCCCTGGGAACGAGGCCGTCGATGCCAAAGAGGTTACACGGCTCCCCCACTCGAGCACAGCGAGCACAAGTGTCACCTTCAAATATCTTTGAAGGACTGTGAAGTCGGACAGCTGAGGAAGGTTTCGGGCCTGCACCATAATGGCCCAGCTCGGCGGCGTCCTGCCGTGACGAGCTGTCACAAGAAAGTCTACGCCTACGCATCTTCCCGTCACCATCCCAGGCCTTGGCAGCCAAGGGTGTGAACACTCCAAGCTCCGCTGGACGGGCCGCTGCACGCCGGAAGGCCTGTCCAGCTGCCCTGCATTGACTGTTAGATGCTAGCGTCGTCCGTGTGCAACAAGACGATGCCCGCTTGGAAACATGAGGACTTACAAGGTCAACTAGCACATCTTGTCACTCTCGTCTGACGAACGGCCACCAGATTCGCAGGCTCAAAGTGGCTCTCGTGCAGGTTTTCGCGTGAGCTACGTAGGCATGCGTGAGAACGGCCGAGAACGGCCTGGGCAAAACCGTGGGAGCGGAGCAGCTCCTGGAGGACGGCCGCCTTCGAAGAGATCAGAAGAGAGCTGCGGACAGATGAGGAGAAAGGACGTGAAACCCGTCCAATGTGTCCAAGATGGGTCCAAAACCACCCAACACCCCGACTGTAGACCCTACTTGCCTCGCCCAAACCTGCGCTGCGGCCGCTGAGCAGGCTGCGGGAATGCCAGAAACCAGGCTGCCTGACACTAAGACTCCTAGATGCAACCTCAGCCCGGTAGCATCTGGTAGCCTTTCCTCCGGACCTCTGGCGGACGTGGGGAAGCAAGGCTGTGAGATGCTGTGCTGCGAAACCTTGACTTGTCCAACGTCTTCGAAGCACTTTGAAACATCTGACGGTTGGGCAATTGCCACAGATTGCCACAGAAATTGACAACACCAGACTTATCAGGCAAGCCACACGTCTCCGCCGCGTCGACCACCTGATCAGAGCAACCAACGCTTTACGTGCATGCCCTCATTCTTGATTTTTCGATTCCCGCCCTCCCTCACTCTCTCCTTCCTCCTTCCTACTTCCCGCTTTCTCTCCGTGCCTCCAGGGCGCCCTGAGGATTGAGTGCCAGTGCTTCCTCAGGTTCAACACTGGGTTCAACACTTCAGGGCAGTTGTCCTTACATCCAGGTCTAGGCCTGCCAACGAAGACCTCGGCGTAATGCCTGAGAGAAGGGCAACATGTCACAGTGTGTCTCCTGTGCAACGCGCCTTGGTGCGCAACGCGCATTTTGGTGCAACGCGTGCTCTGGCTTGCTTGATTTTATCTTGCAGGCCGTGCTGCCAGCAGCAGGGCGCCCCCAATAACAGCATCAGCACTGACAGAGTCCAACAGCATCTCCTTGTTCTCCGGGGAAACATTGAAACATTGTTCTCCCAAAAAAGGTCCCAAAAACCCTCAAAAAGCCCCACGCCACAGCCGTAGCCTTGTGCTTCGCCGCCAAGGGTCGCATCTCAGCGCCAAGGCAACCTCAAAAACCGAAAGTTGGAAGATGCCAACGACAAATAACGACAACTGCACTTGGATCGCAAGAGGGCCTCCCAAGCGCTGGAATTTCCAGCGGCAGCCAGCGCCGATGCAAAGGTGAATTCATCGGGATGGAGACCTCGAAATGGCCATAATGACCACCGCTATCTGCCGGTATCTTGGTACGTCACATCCCCTCATGACCAGCCCCTGCCCGCCCCACAAACTCCACAAGATCAGCCTTTTCAAAAGAAAGCCTGGGGATCAATTCGTGTGCAGACTCTTGGCATCCATGTCTCCAAGCGCCACACTGGCAGATCCGCTCGTATGACAATGAAGTTTTAAGACATCCTGATCCTCAAACAATATAGCCTTCTCTCAGAACTGGTAGCCAACTCAGCTACCTCCCCGCTGTGGATGCTTGATACACCATGTGTAGCTCTCAGGGCCACGGAAAGGCCGCCGTTGTCCATGGGATACTGTAAGAATTCGTTCTGCTGAAGATACAGATCCCATAGAGGACATGCTTGGCAATCTTGGAAGTTGCAGTTTCACTCGGAGGAGAAATACTTAATACAGTGATTGCAGTGCTTGCAGTGATTGCAGTGATTGCAGTGATGCCCGAGCACAGAGCATGATTATTCACCTCGGCGAGGCCATGGTGGCCCGCGCGTGTGGCGCGAATGTCCTGCTCATCCCCAATCCTTGCAGCAGCCCTGCTTGCGCTTTCCTTCTGCCGAGCAACCAGCATGCCGAATGCCGCCAAGCATAGCAAGCGATCGCGGCCAGTCTCAGTGACAACTGCACGAACGCCCTGCTAAGCTGAACGAGAAAAAAAGTCTTGTTTGACACAGGACTTTCGTTGCAACCACACGTCTCAAGATCCAGCCTGGGCATGCTCGCAGAGCTGCATTGCAAACAGCCAGATCTGGGACGTCCTGCGCGTGCACAGACCTGTGCACAGCTGTGCATGTGGGCTTGAAATCACAAGCCAATGTACACACACACACACAGACACACGGACGTACAGACTGTGTCCTGGTACCTCAGTAGAGATATTGCCTTCTCCCACTTCTTGGCCTGCAGGGATCGAGTGCCGACACTTGTGCATTTCCTCTTCAATACTCCCGCCATACAATGCAGCAGTACGAAGCGACGCAGGATTCATTCATTCATTACCATTTTTTGTCGTTCTCTAATCCTGTTCATGCGTACACCCTGGATACAACAATAAGAGCAAAGTGATAATATAATTTGTGCGTGAAATCAATCCATTCATACTAGTTCGTGGTGATCACAGAGTTGGGGTTTTTCGGGGCCCTTTGTCTCTTCATCTTGCCCCCTTAATAGTAAACCAAAAGATAGCAAAGTTATTCCTGATCCAATAGATGACAGGGAATTCCAGGATTTAAAAGAATCTGGAAAGGATGGAATTCTTCTTGGCATAACACTAAACCCTAAGAAATGGTGTTGGATTGCTAACGGTTCTCCTTGGCTCTGATTGGAACGAGGCTCATTGAAGCTGATGCTGCCTGTTTTCAGGAATTGCCTTGATGCTGTTGTCTGGATCGGCCCCCGGCGAAGACAGATCCGGAAAAGGATACACCCCAAACAACGAGAAGCACAATGCCCGGGAAAGCTTGTTCGAGTGCATTGTCAACTTATACTTGCCGAGCCCGGGTATTCAGAAGCACGTGCTATAGACAGCTGTAGGTTACCTTCCTCCGCTGAGAGTCTTTCGTGCATGAAGGCCAGTCCACCCTCAGCTCTTTTATGATCAAAACTTTTTTTTGAAGCCAGCCCTGCCTCTGCCAAAGCGCCCAGCACGGCCTGGCCATTGCACCCCTGCATGAACTCCCACACTGTCCTTGCCTCGTTCCCCCGCAATTTTCTGTGGCTCGTCGAGGGGAGCCTGCAGCAGGCCGGCGTCGCAAGGCTGCCGAGAACACGCCTCGCGCGTTACAAGAGTGAACTTGCGTCGCATCGTCTCATCGTGCTGGGATGCGGGAGGACGCGGGGGCCTCCTGGAAGAGAGCCAGGCTGCGCTGCCACTGCCGGCACCTCAGCTCCGAATCCACGGAGCCCGGGCACGTGCACGACGCATCACGACGTGTACGATATGCACCAACGCTCTGAATCATCGCGACGTGCCTGCCACAGGCGGCCGCAGCCGCGGCCAAGGCGGGGCCGTCGCGGGCATCGCGGAGGAGGCGCAGCGACCACCTCGCCAAGAAGGCACTGCGAACGTGCTGCAAGTGTGCGCGATCTTGCGCGATCGACAGACTTGCCCACCCCGGTCCCTTGTTCGTGGCCTGTGGTTCAGCAGAGTCCAAGCATTTGCATACATTCAGGCCTACAAGCTGCGATGTGCAGCTATGCAATTGTGCGCAGGCAAGCTTCCAAGACGAGGAATCCTTTAAGCTGCTACTTGAAATGGAAGAGCTTGGGTTCTACTACAGTCTTGCTGCCTTCCTGTCAGGAAACCTGCAGCTACAAGCACCTGTGCCACGCAGAGTCACACCAGGAAACGCAGCACGCAGCTGCAAGCGGAAAGCAGCAACACGCTCCTTGCTCTCTCATTTGAAACACGAAAGCAGCTATCTGTACTAGCATCAGATGCTCTCAGCATGGAGAGCGCGGAGATCGATTCCCTGCTTGTCGTCCTCTGGCCTTAGTTCCTCGGAGTGTCCAAGGACCAAGCCCCAAACAGCGGCCAAATGCAGTCTCTCAATCATCTCAGCGAGAACCCGTCCAATTTGATCTGGCACTCTCCTGATGAAATGGTTTTGGCCTGCAACCCTCTCGATGAACAGACAATTGTCTAGCTCTAGCTCCTGAAACTTTTTGCAGCAGCTTTCAAGCTTCTCTGCCACTTCCAACGGATCCTTCCGTTGCCTGCACATTCGGGAGGCCGAGCAAAGTGTTGCCATTGCGTCTTTGAGCTTGCCCACATCTTTCTGGTCATCTGATGCCCTCAGGAGCTTGTAGACAACGGAGAAGTTGAGCTTCTTGACGATCTCCAAGAGATTTGCCTGCATCGTCTCCCATGGAACCCGGACATCACCAGCTAGCGGAGGCAGCGGGCTGAGCTTCATCTCATCGGGAATCTGAAAGAGGACTGACCGTGTCAGGTCCGTCTTCTCAGGAGACCGTGTCAGCATTACGACATTTTGGACATATTGCACAACCCAAGCTGAGCCAAATGAGATGCTGCGGAAAAGCGCAGGCGAACACCGCACGGGCGCCAGCTTCCATCTCTACATTCGCCGCCATGAACTGCTGCCATGATGCTGCCAGCGAGAGGTTGCCACAGCAACCCCCAGTAAAGCCTGTGGCAGACGCACTATGGGTTTCACTCGAAGCGCAAAGGTGAGATAAGGCGAATAATGTGAGAGTCGAGGGCGGCTCTCCTGGACGCTTGCCGCTGGCACCCCGCGCGCGCCCCGCAGAGTCGAAAGCAGCACTTGGGCCTCCGAAGGTGAAGATCCCCCAAGCTGCTCAGATCATCTCCCTTCGGGCACCTGCCGCAGCTGCTCCGCCCTTGCAACAGCAGCCAGAGTTGCATTGAAACCTCAGGATCTTTGAAGAGCACAGAGGATGGAGCGGGGCTTTAGCGGCTTTAGAGATGCAGATCGCGATCTCGCTCATGCGTATGCTCTTTGATTATTTCATTACTCCGATCTTCTTTTTTTTACTGACGCATGACCCAACTGGTATGGGACCTTACACCTCCCTGCTGTGCTGCTGCACAAAGCTTGAGTAGCGTTCAGGCTCGGTAGCTTCGCAGATTCGGCTGCAAATGGCAGCGCTGCACCTGGGTCTCGCAAAAGCGGTCGATGCAGGAATGCCGCACCGCAGCTTTTACATGCATCTCCGAATGTACAAGCGATGTCGTGCACCTTAGCATTCTTTAAAACATCACTGACGCACGACTTAAGATCCTTCAAGCCAGCGAGTGCCTCCGAACCACTTCCACGACCCCGATGCCCACGGCCTGCCCCAGCAGCGCCAGTGCCGCCCGCCAGGCACGTGCGCGACCGCAAGCAGCCAGCGCAATGGAGGCGCCTGGGCCCGCTTCGTTCTTGAGGGTTCAGTTGGTAGCTCAGGTCCATATGGTCACTTCTCTAAATTGTGGTCCATGCATGTCCATGTTTTGGGTACTCTAAATAGTAGGGCCCGCCCGAGAACAGCAAGTGACCATATGACATCGCAATCTATGCACGACGGTCAATGTCTGTTCGGAAGTGCCCGAAGATGGCAACTTCAGGTTTTGCACATTTGTTCGAGGTCATGCTATTCATTCTCGAAGGCACGCGATGGAAAAAAAGGGCGGCAACGCTGGCTTGCTTGAGAAAGGGCCATCCACATGCTCATACTACCCGATCAGTTTCGGAACTCCCTAGCCGAGCACGGCTCACACATCAACCAACGCCATAACCTTCTCCCAAACGACTCCAACCAGAGCAACACTAGACATCCAACGATTAAAATACAGATGACGAAAGCCACCGATATTTCATGAATTTAAGGGTTTAGGGAACCTAAACTCTAAACTCTAAACTCTAAACTCTGAACTCTGAACTCTAAACTCTAAACTCTAAAGTCTAAACCCTAAACCCTAAACCCTAAACCCTAAACCCTAACTCTCCGTGGATCTGAGCGGCTGGTGCCCAAAGCAGCGCTTTCCGTTTCCGTGGCCCAGAGCGCCAGAGCCGCCTCAGCTTTGCTCACGCTGAACGGGCCTTTCGGGCACATCGCGGGGTACGCTCTTTTTGTCAATCCATTTGCTTCTACTTGCGAATTTCAAACGGGGGAGGCGGGTGGGGTCTGCGTCTTGTGCGATTTGAACACATTTGAACCATACTTGGCTCCGGAAGTCCCCCGAAGTGAGAGAAGCGGACTTCGGGGGCGGAGGAGGGTCGCGCGGAGGTCGGCCAAGGCACCCCCCAGCTCAGTTGCCGGGCCAGGTCCCGGAGTTGGCACGGGGCCTAGGCTGAATGCTCTCACCTTTTTGCATTACTTGGCACAGCTTTACATGAAGTCAGGCGCAGCGCAGCCCCCAGAGATCACAAGAGTTCACTGACAACTCCAAAACTCACTCAAAGCATCTGAAAAAGCACGGAATTTGCACCGTTTTCAGAAAAAAGATCCAAGAGTCCATGAAAGCTCCCAGCCATGGCCCGCTGCCACTGCGGTGCCCGCACCAGCTCTTAAATCTATCAGAGTCCTTTATCGCAACAGAGACGACTGAGATGCTCAGGTGCAAAGGATCCTTCTGAGGGTTGGAAAGGGGCAGCAGCTTGCGGTAGAACGCACTTTTGTGATTTTCCTATCGTTCGAGAATCCTGCAGCCAAATGTTGGGCTGCAGATCGACAAGAGACCTGCAAGCTTGCAAGCTTCCAAAAAGATCAGCTTCATGTTGCGAAATCGGAGACGTGGAGGTAGGGCTAAGCACGGCTACGACTAAACTGTGCATGCCCAAACTTGCAGTGCTGAATGCTGAAAGCCAAGCATTGCAGCATCAAGCGGACCTACCAACAAAGCGAAGCAGCTCAATGTCTCGTTTTCCGGACACTGTTCGGGTCAAGCAGTTCTCCGTGCTGTGCCATTGCACAGGGGCTGCACACTTGCATGTCACCTGCCAGCCGGCGTGTTGCAGGCTGTTGCGGGCTGTTTCCCGTAGATTCGCCGTCGCTTTCTTAGCGATGGCATCTGCGTGTCCCATGCAGTGAGCGAAAGCTGCTGTTGCACAGCGCTGCTGTCACCGCCATTCTCTGCATCGCCCCATGTTACAACCGATCCATTTTCCAGAAGCGCAGCAAAAGCAAACCCGTTTTCCTGAATGTGCTGCACTGCCTTTAACTCTTCTTGCACAGCACGGCTGTCACCACCATAAGCGCCCGTTCCCCAGCTCACCACGGATCCATCTGCCAAAAGAGCAGCAAAGGCTTCTGTTGAGGCTTGGATATGCTGAACTTGTCGGAGCCTGTCCTGTACAGCACTGCTGTCTGCGCCATGCCGTATACTGCCCCAAGTGACAACAGAGCCATCACCAAGAATCGCAGCAAATGCAGCATCGTTGCTTTGAATCCGCCTTACATCCTTCAGCCGGGCCTGGACAGCGCTGCAATCTCCGCCGCAGTTGCCGCATCCCCATGTAACCACAGAATTGTCGCCCAGGATGGCTGCAAAGGCAGCAGCTGAGCTTCGAATGCTTCTCACATCCTTCAACCGACATTGGACAGAGCCACTGTCACCACCCGCACCGCTTGCACCCCAGGTAACCACGGAACCGTCCGCCAAAAGTGCTGCAAAGGCCGAGTCGGTGGATGCGATGTGCTTCACCGACTTCAGCTTCTCCTGCACGGCAGAACTGTCACCTCCATCTGCCACATTCCCCCAGGTGACCACCGACTCATCCTTGCGGATTGCAGCGAAAGCATAGCCACTCCCGACGATGCTTTTCACATTCCGCAATCGATCTTGTGCAGCTTCACTTTCACCACCACAATCAGGTGCCCCCCAAGTTACCACAGATCCGTCAGCCCGCAGGGCTGCGAACGCTGCCGTGGAAGACTGAATCTGTCGCACGTTCGTCAGCTTCTTCTGAACTGTGCTACAATTGCCTCCAACATCTTCTGCACCCCAGCACACCACGGATCCATCCGTTCGGAGCGCCACGAAAGCTGCACAGGAGCTTTGGAGGGCCTCGGTCCCCGAACCAAGACATCAACGCAAGCTAAATGAAGCCTGCCTTCTAGTCTGCGTGTATGCAACACATTACATGTGTACATTACATGTGCGATCGTGTGCATAAACACCGCAGAGTATAGGAAGACAACCCAGTATACTCGAGTCAATCGCACGGGCCTGTACGTTTTCCAGTTGGTCCCGGACTTTGGCACTGTCGCCACCGAACTCGCGGCCACCCCAAGTTATCACAGATCCATCGGAGCGCAGTGCAGCAAAAGCACCCGCTGTGCTACGGATCTCCTGTACATTGTGGAGCTGGTCCTGTACTTTGCTGGAGTCTCCTCCTCCATCCTTGTGGCCCCAGGTCACCACAGAGCCATCTGCACGACGGAGGGCGAAAGCGGGGGCAGTGGAGGCAATCTCCGGCCACCGTGCAACAGCATTCAGTGAGTCCCCATCTTGCAGCCCAGCTTCTCTTATCGTACTGGCACGCGACAGGGTCTGGCCAGCCGCATCGATCAATTGACTGATGCCAGTACTGAAGATAGTCTCTGCACGTGACTGCACTTCCTTGACAGTCGTGTCGGCCACCACACGGATCGCGGCACTTCTGCCGCTCAGCAGCACCACATGTAAGCAAGTGCACATGGAGGCAACAGTATGGAAGCTCCGTTTGTGCGGGCGTAATGTTATGCTCTGTCTTGCTTATCTGGTACAGGAAAGTGTCTGTAGCAAAAGGAGTGGAAGAACGTCACAGTTGACTGTTGTCGTGCAGAGTGCAGCTAGCACATTCCGAACTTTGTTTGAGGCTTGAAGACAGCTGGCTTCCTGACCAGTTGCAGAGCCCAATCCATTTAGTCTACACGCACGCGTATTCCATCGACTCCTCTCAAAAGCAATTCTCGTCCTGCACTCTGCGATGCCGCACCTTGCTCCAGGCGTACGTGGGCTTGAAACCTCCTTCAGAGCACGTTTGTTTGGAAACTGGACTAGAACAACAGGTGTACACTTGTGAGCCATACAAAAAGATAGGTGAGATTGCAGTACATCACATGGTTCAACATGCAGCTTGCCTCTGCAGGTAGCGCGGTTGTCACTGGAGAGCATGGTGCAACAACCCTGGCTGGATGAACTGGGGAGCAGAAAGGGCCCGGGTGGCCTGGAGGAGGGTATCCCACAACCTTGAAACAGCAGTGGATGGGAGGGTACCGCGGCCACTTTTCCATGGAGGCTGCTGCTGCGCTGCGTGATTGAAAGGGTTGGGTAGAAATCGTATGAACACCAAACACCCTCGAGACCCCCAATCACGAGACCCTTAGGAGGCCCTAGGGACCCCGTACTTGCGACCGCTGTGGTCTGCTGTCGAGAACTGAAGCCTTAAGCCTTGCAAGACATTCAACGATGCAAGCGGAGGGGCTTCAGTGCGCATGCACTTGCCGGTCCACTGCGCATCAGTTTGTACTTGGTGTTGAGGACTTTGAGGGCTGGGGTTGTTTAGTGTGCCGTTCCCTTGGTCGTGCTTTGGCTGGATAGCGGGGAGGCACAGTGGGATCTCGGACATCCATGCGAGTCACTGACCATACTCGACCAACTCGACCATATGTGACCGTGCACAGTCGACAAGGAAACAGGAGTGCACTCGACACTGCCCAAGTAAAAACTGCATGCACGCAGCGACCACAGCAACTCCTAGGGATGTTGACCAGAGCTGGGAGGACTCCCATAAGTGCCCATAAGGAACTTGGGACAAGTGGGTCCTGAGGTGGACACAAATGTCAATGGCATGGCAACTATGCCTGCCCGGCATCGGTGGTGCAGCTGGGAGCGTCACAGACAATGGCCGCGACAAATCCTGTCCGGCATCGAAGGGAGGCAAGACTTGGTGGTCTCTCGCTTGCCGCCCAGCAGCGAGAGAAAGGAGGTCGCGCTTCCGTCCGCATTTCCGGCAGAACACGGAGTCTGTCCTGCACGTCCCAGGTCGAGCGCAGCCAAGTGCGTAGTTCGCGCTTAAATGGACCGCAACACTACGTGGTAAAAACATGTAAACAGAACGTGGGGGGGACAAAAACTAAAACAAAGATCAAGGCAAGCTAAGATCCGCTTTGGCACGGCTGAGACCCTTTGACGCGCTCTTCCTTACTTGCTGAGGGCTTGGGCCCAAGAATCAAGGACCATCGCTTTGCTCTCCGGCTCGGAGTTGCGTACAGACTTGAGAGAACTCCAGAGCACATCTCTCCATTGCGCTCTGTCTCTCTCTCTCTCTCTGACTCACTGACTCTTTGTCTTATTATATTCTTCTCCTTCTTCTCCCTTGGTTGGGCGACCCCTTGTCCGAGTGTCGACTCTCCCACAGTCGGAGTGAGATAGATATGAGCTGGACCACACCAGCTGCCCCCCAACACCAAAAAAAACTACCCTGCACGAAGTCGAACGCTTCCGATCAATGGGCGCACCTCACCCGACATTTAATGCCACTGGAACGTCAACACATCATCCGAAGAAAATCCACTGCGAAGGCAGTCCCTGACCCTTGATCAAACTCGCAGACTATGCTGGTTCTCTGCTCAGCTCAGTTCGACCAACGCCGACACACCGTGGCTACACACTCCTGCAGACCTCTCATTCTCGCCTCCATGTCACTTCAATATGCCTCTTCTGTGCGTTGATATGAGATTTCTCTGATGTTCTCTGCGCAAGCTCTGAGAACTCTGGGGATCCACACATGTACACGTTGCCACAGACAGGGCAGCGAGCAGTCTTAGAGGCAAATGGAGGCCAGAAGAAACAATTCCAATTGAATCAGTTAAGCAACATTTCGTATCTCTGCAATCCGCATCTGTCGCAATGGCATCTTGGGCCCGTGCCCGAACCACCGATGGAGGAGAGGAACAGGCCTCAAGTGATGCACACAAGTCTACAAACAACACGACGGCTGTGCAGGCCAGTCATTATTGCTGCTGTGCCTCCAGGACCTGGTAAGCGGGTCGCACGGCCTTATACTTGCAGGCGTCGTCTCTTCACAAGGTATGGAATTAATGATTCTAGACCTGAACACCCCAACGAGCGGTGTGGTTGCCCACGCTGACCACAGCACGGCATGTTCAACAGGCTCCAATAAAGGAATTCGTGTACGCTATGGGGTGCACAGCATATTGAAAAGCCATTTTCGCAACGGCGGGGCTGGCAAGCTGGCAATTCTGCATGTATGACACCTGCTTGGTGACAAAGGCACCCTGCTTGGACCTTTCGTGCCCCAAGAGTCCTGTAATATCCTGTAATTGTCCTGCAGCTTTGCTTGAAGATGTTTTGGCTGAAAGACCCACTGCCGGCGGCCCTACTATGTGAGACGTTGTCACCAGGTTCGCCGCCGTCTCCAGTCAAGCCCAGCGCGGGTAGCCTTTCAGAGGAACATGGTGTGGAGAGACATTCCAAGGCCACTGGCTTGCGGGTCCATAGTCTTGGCACCTGACTCTCAGAAGCAAATCATCAGTTCAGCAGGACTCCGCAACATGTCGAGCTTCGTCGCTTGGTGTTCAAGTCACGTGGTGTACTCCGAGCTCCCAGCACAGTTCACAGCAAAGCTACAAGTGGCACAGAGATGCCGTCAGTCACCCCCTAGCTAGCATTCGGGGTTGCAACCAGAGAAACACAGGCGCTCAACAAAAGTCTTGCAGAAGAGCGCAGTTCAGAGATGCTTCGATGATCTTCGATGGCGATGTTCAACAAGGCCAGGCGCATGAAAATCCGTTGGCTTCGGGCGGCTCTTGCTTTAGGATGGGTTCAAGGTCGCGGGGTCGAAGGTACAGGGCCGAACAGGGTGTGAGTAGCAGCCAATATCATACACAAGTTCAGGGCTTTAGTTTGCAGAATACGCAGACTCAGCCCAAATCCCAGCAAGAGAACTTGACTTCCAAGTGACGGATGGAAATGCTGCTGCGGGTGTGGAAGCAGCATTTGGTATCCAGCAGTCATCTGGTGATTCTGTGGCCATTCCTCACAGTGTCTCCATGTCACACCTGTATGCGTGCAAACATGTGATTCGAAACACTAGAAGCTATACAGCAGAAACTCGATGCCTCAGAGGCTGCTCGTGCTGACCGGGGCACGTGAGACACTTGGCACCAATTGGCGCATGGATCCGGAAATGAATCCGTGTCCGAGGGCCCGAAGGGCCCGAAGGGCCCTGGAGTCGCCGATGTCGCGGGCGTGGAAGTCGGTGGCTCCTTTGGGACGGAGGAGGGTCCCTTGTAGAATTGCCCTCAATACAGATAATAAAGACTCCCAGTACTTCGGACCCAAGGCATAGGTCCAAACGTCACCTTGAAAGAGCTGCTGGGGCTCTGAGGCCTTGGCCCACCACTCTTCGGATTGGGACTCACCTTTTGCTGGACAGCAACATGAGCAGCGATGTGCGAAGCAACATGTGAAGCGATGTGCGAAGCCATATGCGAAGCGATATGCGAAGCGATATGCGACGTTCATCTTCGTTCAGCTCCCGAACCTCGACATGAGCTCATTGCCGAAGAGAGCAAGGCCCGGACTTCCTCTGCGACTCTTGATCTTGGCACACTCACATCTTAGAATCTTAGAACATGCTGTGACATTCCACAGTAGCATCAAGGCCTGCAAACCGTGATCAGCCGGCTTCAGATATTTACTGCGCTGGCCTACTTCTGCCCTCAAGGTACTAAAAATCAGGGAGATTTCTTGGCTGGTTGGTCCTTTGTGGCAGCATGGTCGATGGGCTGCCGGTCTCGCCGATCTCGGCGGTGGCAGTCTGCGCGTGCCTTTCTACTCCACGTTTCAGCGGATTTCGATGGAGTTCGATGGAGTTCGACGGAGTCTCATGCGAACCTCAAGCAACAGTTTGCAGTGCTCGTAGACGCCCCGAGCGGCCGCATGCATCAGCGGCGTCTCCTGGTGCAGCGCCGAGCATTGAGTTCGATTGGGGGACATCTCACCAGGCTTGAAGACTTGCTCTCATGACATTTATGCTTACCTCTCCTGCGTGATGGGTAGGGCATCGACCATAGCATCAGCACGAAGCAGCAGCTCGAGGCATTCTGTTCCTGATGACAAGCCACCCATGCTACGCCCTGCAGAACTCTTGCGATGTACAAGGAGATCATTGCGAGACAGCAACGAACCATGTATGGGAGCACTGAAATTTTGCCGTGCAACGCTCTGCCACGCGCCCGGTACCCTTGGCTGCCAAAAGCAGCGGCGTCGCTCCACTACTATCACACTCCTGGAGCAGTTGGATAGGGGCACTCTGTAATCCAGGGCAAGACATCTTTGCATCATGGGCCCTCCCATCACTCCCTCTGTCTCCTCCACGGCTGCACCCTCATCAAGCCAGGCGCGGACCATGGCCGGCATCGCAAGCTCGGCTGCACCTACAGCAAGGCCATAAATCTGGGCACGGGCCAGCCAGACACACTGAGATTGAGAAGGATTCGATACATAGCATGCATACGCTCGGTTCGAAAAACTGTGTTAAAGGTGCTAAACAAATGTGCTAAAGCGAAGAGTGACGGTACAGAGATACTCCACCCCCTCCAAAACAGACTCCAAGGCAGAAGGCCAACACAACTTCTGCGTTCAAGGGACGATGAAGGGAATGTCGGCCACCTGCTTTCAGCAGGAGTTCGACGCACTCCTGGCGTAGATGGGATGGGAAATAAGGTATCACTGAACACCCATTTCGAGCCGAGCTCCTGCTGGTTGCGGCTTACAGCCATGTCTAAAGGAGTTCCACCATGCCTCAGCGCACCCAGGCTTTAGGGGTTAGGTTTGACGGTTCAAGGGCTTGGTGACTTCCGGGCTTTGAGCTGAGCCCCAAAGCCAAGCAAAAGCATGCCAAGTGCTGCGCCCCCACCCCACCTGCCCACCCACCCTCCTTCCCCTCGCACAACAAAACCAAGCCGAAACATTTTACAGGCCCCTCGCTCCCTCCAAGGCGCCCCCTCCCCCAGAGCCGAGAGCAGTTTAAAGAACCGGAGATTGCATGACTTCCCTTGCACACGGGAGCACTTCGGCCCACTCATTCAGCCCCCGGAAGGCGCTCCACATGACGGGCTGACAAGGATAGGCACAACTGGAGCAGCTAGAGCTGAGGTGGCAGGGAGATGACGGTCACCACACTCAACCAAACGCCACCCACAAGCCTATACGGCAACATAAACAAGTATTGTGTCTTCCTGCCACTGGTAACGGTATGGTGAAAAAGCGTTTGAGTGTTGTCTTTCTTGTTTTCTCTTTTCGGTTGTTCTTGCTTTTTTTCTTCAGGGCATGGGGGAAACCTCCGCGCGCATGACGCGCGGACAGGGGCCCCCTCTCCCTCCCTCCTGGCCGAAGTATTTTCTCTTCGCTGACGCTTCTTCTTCTTCTTCTTCTCCTTCTTCTCCTTCTTCTTCTTCTTATTCTTCTTCTTCGGGGTTTGAGGGGCAGGGCAGAAATCCCTACTCCCCCGCGCGCTAGGGCGCGCCCAAGCAGTCTCAGGTCAGGTCGGCGTGACGCTGACTGAAAACAGGAACCGCTGGATTGTAGCAGCCCTCTCTCTCTCTCTCGCTTTCTCTCTCTCTCTCTCTCTCTCTCTCTCTCTCTCTCTCTCTCTCTCTCTGTCGGCCCACAGGCGCCTCCATCTCTCTCACCTCAAACTAAAGAACTAGACTTGTTGAAAGGAAAGGTCACAGTATGACATCTTGCTTGTAATCAGCTGTGCTCAAAGAAGTGCGTTTATCGCTCGCAGACCATGAGCCTCCCGAGCCCAGTCCACCGTCCAGCTGCCTTGTCCTATGGTTTAGGGTTGTGAGGCGGCACAAGCATTACAGCATTCGTGAAAGCCACGCAAAACAGGACATGTTCAAAAAACAAACAGCAACGCATAAATGCAAACACAAAATAGCTTTTGAAAGAATACAAGACCAAACATCAAACAAATGCAAACACAACAGGACAGCGCTCAACACTGCGAAACAACGCCTAAAAACAAAGGTTGCAAAAAAAAGCAAACACGAAAAGAACGAAGAGAAAAAAAAAAACACACACACACACACACACACCCTCGTACCTATTGCGACGTTCTGTTGTGTGGCTGTGTTTGTTGCGTTCTTTCGACTCGGTTGCGTGTGCTTTCTTCTTGCTGTTGATATTCCTTCTAACATCGTGTGTGTTTCGACGTTGTGCGCTTTCTACTTTTCTACTTTTCTCGTACTGCGCGCCCACTCCAGCTTTGGTTGAGCCTGGTAATCCCAATTTGGTTCCTGGGGGTCTCGCTTTACCGGCCTGGCATTGGGACTTGCCCACGGTTCGGAGCGCAGTCGTCCAGAGGCCTCGAAGAGGAGAAGCCGCAGGGCCTCGACATTGCCTGAGACAGATGTCAGGTCTTAGGTCAAGTCTACTCCAAAAATGAAACAAAAAAAACCCCCGGCCCCACCGGTTCATCGTCTTGCTGAATTGGCACCTCGAGCCGCTGAGTCACGAAGGAGCTGGTCCTGAACTAAGAGCTGACAATCTAGGCTTGCTACATCAGATCGGCCTTTAGAAGCATGCTTGGTGGCTGCTAGTGGAGGATCCCGCCATTGCTTTCAAGCATCAGCACCGGCACAGGTGAGAACACCGCCGCTGTTTCGCAGAAGCTCCTCAGACCCAAAAAAGGAATTCGCAAAGTCTCTCACTTCTCTCGAAGTTGCTCTCCGTCTGCTCTCACATTCTCAAAAAAAAGCCCAGCATCAGCTGCACCGCGGCATCCTGCCAGGCAACGGCAGAGCCCCCTCGAGCTATGTCAAGCAATTTTTTGGCATCCACCGGCCTTTCTTCACGGCGATGGTCAACGGCTTTCCCTCTGGGGTCGCGGTGTTAACAGCCTGAGGGAGAGAGCGTTCTTTCCAACGAGTCCCCAGGCGTTTCTGAAGCGTTAAAAAAGACAGAATCAGAGGTTGAGTTGAGGCTGCCTCTGGTCGTGCCCGTATGGCCGCCCAAAGCCGGTCCAAGCTGAGAAACCGCCCGTCCTCCTGGGTCAGCACGGCTCGCACAGAGCAACAAGGAACACCAAGGACCACAGCAAAGCATTGGCAAAACCCTCTCCATCCCTCTCCCGAAAAGCAACCCAGGAGCGGGGTGCATGCGAAGCTGGGCCGTCAGGTGGCCTCAGGCTACAAGACCAAGCGTGGGACAACAAACATGAAAGACACCGAATCACTGACATTCACTGACACTTCCAAGATGCATCGCCCAAGATCGGGCCACCATTCCTGGACATGCAGACAGTATCCGATGATTCAGAAACCTTCCTAGCTCGGCCTCGTTCCGGATCAATCCCTTGTGCCCCCGAAATTCTGTCCTCCCCAGGCAGGTCGGTGGGCCCAGTCCGGCGCGCAAGCAGCCGGGCCTTGAAGCAGCCTGGAAGTGAGAGACGACTCTTCGACACCAATGGAGTTTTACAACCCTGCCTTTCCCTTGGAAAGAGCTAGTGCTTCCAGCGACTCTTGAGAACTTTAGCCATCCAAAATACGGGTTGCCCTCAGCTTCTAGCAGGAGTCAAGGCACATGCCGGCCCTGCAAATTGCCAAACCCGAAGGAGGCAGTGCCCAGGACTCCTTGGTGCTGCATGATTTTGTGGCTTCCGAAAGCAGATTGCTGGCGGATTTTGAGCACTTGCTAGCAAGGCACAGAAAAACTGCATGTTGCAAGTCACGCCAGGACGACATCGCCACGAGACTTCTCGTGCAGGCATTGCGCAAGGCTTAGTACCACAAGCTACGTGTTGACTGGAGCTTTGGCTTGAGTACTGAGCTTCCTGTACTGGCATACGGTGACAGACTTGCTTCAGCTGCGACATCTGTGACCTGGCAAACTCTGGAACCTGTCACACGACGTCTTCGCGTGCACCATGTCAGCCGCTCCATGCCATGTATGACATGTACAGATGTCGGATTCTGGATGTCCAGAGCGTACCTGGCTTTTCCACAATATAGACTGGGTTTGAGCACTTGATATTAGTATGGCAGCAAGAAATATGCCTGGACTTCAGGACCCTGGCTGTTGGTGATCTTCTTGGCGACGCCTTCTCTCTGCGGATGTGGTGCATCCATCTGAGCAGCGGACTCTTTGACCAGACCCGAACCTCTACCGAATCCAAGCTCTGGCCTGTGGAAAGCCTCGAGTGCCAAGACCCGGGTCCGCCGCTCCTGAGCGCATCTTCTCGGCAAACAGAAACAGCTGCTGCACATGCTGCGCATGCTGAGCCGGGGCAGCTTCTTAGGATTTGCGAAGTGTCGCGTTGAGGGGCTTCGAAAATCCTCTGGCTCTCTGACTGCTAGGCACTGCTGGGAGCGTCCTCGATCGCCGAGACCACAGAGACCACGCGCCCGGGAGCTCCCGGCGCTGGCGCACCTTTTCCGCCGTCGACTCTCGCGGCGACTCTGCCTCCCTCTTTCTCCCTTTCTGCTCTCTTCATGCTCTCAACCTGTTGAAAAAGTATTGTTTCTCCTTGAGCTGTTTCTGCACGGAGGGCGGGAGGGCTCCGCCGTTAGGCCCTCGGCTCAGCTGTGCGGCACGCTCCGCAGCCCGGGCGTTGGCAAAGCGCCGCCACCTCTGCAAAAGAGCGTAGTTGTAAAGTTGCGGGTTGTTTTTCTGTAGTCATTGTTGACACTGGAGAGCTGTTTGTAGATGGCTTTTTGGCTACGGACCTGCAAGTCCTGGTCGCATTCTGAAAGACTCATTGCGACAGTCTCTGCTGCATCTGCATTTCAGGCAATGCCTCGCAGCCTGCTACATGACTAACTTGCGCAGGAAGTGGCCTGCGAAAGGCGTCAGTCCTGGCAATGTTGCAGCTGACAAGAACCTTCTCAATGGAACCTTCTCAATGGAACCTTCTCTCATGAATCTCAGCGTGGCGAGCTGGCGAGCACTGAGGGACTGAGGGCCCGGCAAGAGCAGGCTTCGAGAAGCTCCAGCCTCGGAGACTCGGAGCTCAGAGCGAACAATCAAGCTTCGTCCGATTTTGTAAAAGGACAAAATACAGACTCCATACAGACAGCTCCTCAGCTCCCGGCGTGCTCCGCGGCCTTAGAAAGGCACCCCCCCCCCCCCCCATTTTCCCCCACCCCCCCTAACCCTGATGGAGCTGTCTTGATGCCAGCACCCTCCAAAACACCGTCCAACACACTTTCCCATCCCGTCACCTCGCGGTCGGCCATCGTCCGGCGCAGCTTTGCTGAGCTTTCATTCACGAGGCGCAGCCTGGAACGCCGATCAATAAGATCAGTACGCCGGTACGCAGGTCAATGCCTATGACAATTCGAGCACGATGACAGGAAGACGACATACTAGGTTTGTGGATACCTTGCTCCATCGTAACTGCATTGTTCGATGCCGAAGATGGCAACAGGCACCATGTACAAGTTACCACAGGCACGACATTAGAAACAAATGATACTACTGCTCAGAATGCCAAATTGAACGAAAATGAGAGAATGGACAAGATTATTTTGAGTACGAGTATGATTCACCAACAAAATAAACAAGGGAAAAATGAAGAACGTTTGTAAACAGCTTCGGAAAACTAACATTTTACGACCGTCCTTCGCAGACCTCAGAGGACTACGGCTACAGTAGGGAGCCAGAATCAACAGGAGGGCCCAGAAAGCTTCTACGTTCACACGACCTGCCTGACAAGCAACTCCTTCCACAAGATGGGCTCAGGCTGTTTTAGGCACCTCCATGTCATGAAGGTGGCGAAGACCAGGAGACGCATCTTCAATGTCCAGAACTTGCCAGCCTCAGTCTACGACCGTGTTTGCGCAAAGCGCACTTAAGCCGAACCCTTGAAAAACGTAGAGGGTTAAGAAGCACCTTGTTGATGGTCCCTCTTCCTCCGCACAGTTACGTCGTTACTTCCCCCCCCTCTCTTGGAGTAGGGCCAGCCGAGAGCCGCAGTTCGAGCCACGGTCGGCGCGGCGCCGGAGCTCCGAGCCTTCTGCAGAAAGCCAAGAACTTGCAAGAAGAGCTGGAGACAAGGGAAGATAAGAGAAGTTAGACAGGGCAGAGTATGGATACGACACCTGCACAGAGAAGAGAGCACGGGAGAAGAGAGTAGAAATGGAAAAAGGGGCACGGGAGGCAAAGGAGGCAAAGGAGGCAAAGGAGGCAAAGGATGCACCCATCTCTGTCTCATCTCTCTGTTCTTTGGCCACCCGGCTCCAGGTCCGGCGCTGCTTCTCCAGCTGTGCACCTCGCGCTTCCTGCACGGAAATCTGCCAAAAGAAACAAAGGCGACCGCCCCGAAATGCCCCACCCCCCCACCCCCCCCACCCCCCCATTCTCGCAAAAATGACCCGCCCCCCCGCCACTTTGGCAAGAAAATTCCACGGACTCCACGTGGAAATGCCAGCCCTGTGGAGACCTACAAGTACCTGAATCATGGGCTACAGGATGGATGCATACGTATACATACGCAGCCTGCAGCGCACTTTTTGTTGCAGAGGCTCTCTGCTAACTCGTCGAGCATTTGCCGGCATCCGGGCTTCAAGAACTGATCCAATTCATGCAACCCCGAGCGCTGCCATCTCAGCCTTTCACCCCTGCAAAGCAATGCCTCAGGACCAACACACACACACACACACCACGCACACACACACACACACACACACACTCTTGCAGCAAAAGATGAAAGAACCGGCAAACACGGCCTTTTGGTGATGGGTGTGTGAATGCTTGGCTGAGGCCAGGATGCGCAGCGTAGGTCTTGGCTGAGACCGTCTTGTTCAAAGAGTCCCAGATATCAAAGCCGCATTTAAAATCTGGCGCCTCATCCAAAACCTGGGAGTCGGTGGTAGATCTGTGGTAGGTCAAGGTAGATCTGTTCCGTTAGTAAATACTGCCCTAATGGGACTCTACTGGGTAGAGTGATGGAGCAGGCACATCCTGCCTGCAAGTGTCCGAAGACGCAGCCCTGGATAAGCAAGCCCATGATGTCCGCCGCAATCCTCGGCATGCGTGCTTGTTGGTATTCTGCCCAGAGTGGGTCGATTCCAGCATTCACCCTTCAGATGCGATGCGAACACCGTGCCACGCAGCTTGTGCTACATAAAGAACGAACTGAGGGGAGTGGAACGCGGTGACATAACCCGTTTTTTCAGCAACAAACATTTTTGAGGGATCATTCAGGCTCGCGCAGATTGCCGAGACTTCCGGACGGAGCGAGACCTGGCACCGACCTTCCTCGGGCCACATGCCTTTAAGCTCAGACGAGCTTCATGCCGAATGTGTCAGCCACGGATGCCGCAGACAGCGCAAGCTCCACAAACGATGGAGGTTGCTCCTTTCCACATGGAGCTCTGGCAGCATACGCGTAACACACAGACACACTCGATGGCGTGCAGCTGATGAAGCCGACAGGACTTGCCTGCGCGATGAGGGTGAAGGCACCGACATAGACGCCGCCTCCCAGACACCCGACGAAGAAGGCCTGTCACACTGTCTTGTGCCCAGCTTGATACTCCTTGTTGGGTCTTGGATGTTGTTTCATTGCCGAATCCATGCGTTTCCGCCAACTATGCTGAATTGAAAGCATCGGGAGTCGAGGCCACTTCAACAATGGCGTCTTCTTATAGCAATGGTCGACAAGGTGACTGCTGCCTATGGGTCTGTGCCCGCATACTAGCCTACTTTGCTCAAACAAACATAACCAAAAACTATAGCCTCCCAAAAGGCAAGCATAACAATGGCCAACAACAGCAACCCTGTAAGGACAAGTTCCCGCTGGCCGGGGCCAGTAGCCACCAGTCACCAAAAGGCTGCCTGGGCGTACCACACACAAGAATCTCGAAGTCTGGTGTTTGTTCCCCTTGCTTCCACTGCCACTGAACCTTGCACAAGCCGGCCAACCTCCCAGATCCTCCCAGCCTCCCGCCTGGCATATCCAACTTCCTCTCATCTAAGCACCAATCAACGCACCAATCAACACACCAATCAACAAAGGGAGGTGCCATGCCGCCGCTGCAAAGAACAAGGCCATCACAACCTGAGAACAACTGGCACAACGGGCACCACTTTCAACTGCGGTCTAACTGAAATCAGGCCGCCCTTGCATGCAACTATCAACATAATACGCAGAACCGCACGGGATGGGATCAGCGACGTCCACATTCAATACGGCGCGTGGGGGTGTGGGAGTTGTGTGGGTTAATGGGGGTTGTGCCAGTGTGGGGGACGTGTGTGGGACGTGTGTGGGTCGTGTTTGGGACGTGTGTGGGACGTGTGGGGGACGTGTGGGGGACGTGTGTGGAACGTGTGTGGGACGTGTATGTCTTCGCGTTTGCGTGCGTGTACGGATGGCGCTGCCCGGCTGCCACTTCACTGGGCACCAGAAAGGTTCGTTTGTTCAGCAACGTCATTTTCCATGATGTGCGAACTGACATCCATTGCCCCGTCGCGCCTGAAGAAATCCACCGCTCCACAGTACTTTCCGGTTGCGGCAGATCAAGATGAATGTTGACCTCGAGCAGATGCAGATCAAGCCCCGAAGAGGCCGCAATGTGCTGTTATCCTGGAGGGAATCTCGATTAGAAAGCAAGTATCCCTGGAGTGCCAACCCGCAGAATGCCCGCGGAGAGTCCCGCCGAATACTGTTGAATGCTGATTAGGGTAAACCCTTCCACCACGTTCCTTCAGTTTGCCTCAGGCCTCGGGGCGTAGGTGTCTGGGCACACTCTAATTGGGGCGGAGCATCAAGGAGCAGGAGCATTTGGGGCCGACCACAAGGGATGGACAGCTGTCATATGCTGTCATCCTCGCGCCCGCTCGCCTTCCCCGCGGCTTCTGAACCACCCCTCCCTCGCTCTAAACTCGGAAGAGCTAACCCTTATCAAATCAAGCCACACATGCGGTAACAAACATGATAAATTAGACACCGATGGTTCTGTGAGGCCTTTCAGATCCTGCCTTTGTTCATTTCCTGTCTCTAATGGTTCCCACATCAGGTACTGTAGGGTGGGGATGATCTCCGTTCATAGCGCGCTCGTAACCTCTTCCCCGGGTCACCGTGGCAACCCTGATTGTCGCTGCCTGGAAATGAAGACGCCAATCTGGTACATGAAGTTGGCCCACCTACGGTGCAACTGAAGGACACGTGTTGGACGATTCAGCACCTCAGGCATGGGCCATAATGGGAACCAAGGTGCTTGTAGAACTTGTGGCGAGACGTGGGATCAGTCACTGGAAATCCCATGGCAGCCCAGAAACCGGCTTGGATCCTTGGGCGTCATGGTCATATAGATCCGTGACAAGGTCGCTTCGGGAGCTTCATCGGCTTGCAAGACGCCTTTTGGACTGAAGGATCTCTGATTGCTGTTGGCTACAGGTAGCTGTAGCGGGCCGTGGAATGGCAAATTTCCCTTCTGGTGAAGAGAACCCGAGAGGATTCGGGACAGTTTGGTGTTGTACCGTTGCTGCGGGTTGCCGTAGGAGGCAGGAGAAGGCCGTAGGCACTGAGACAGCCTTCGAAGAGAGCTGCTCTTGAGAGTAAAGAGGGTGTCGGATCTCGGGGTGGTTTGCGGGCTTAAGGTTGAGATGGCACTTTTCGAACTCCCTCGACACTCCTCGCACTTCGTCACTGAAACCCAGAGATGCACTGTTTACACTGCCTGACCTGGATCTTGCCAGCAAGGTTTTTGATCACCCTCGAAATCTTTGAATTTGGCTCTCCGAGGTTTCCGCGCAGCTGCTGGTGCGGCATTTTTTCTAAGTTTTGCCCCTGGGCTGTCAATCTTTCCATATCCCAGCTATCGTCCCGGACAGCCAAGGCAAAGGCAAACCACCTTTCAGCCAAAGACTCGTGTATTCAGCGGCGTAGACGAGGAAGAGCGGCACTGTGTACCTTGCCATATTCATATTCCAAGATGTTACACTGACGGAAAGCCCAATAGGCAACACACCGTAAAACATCCATGTCGGTACAGACAAGCCTTTGTCATAGTGTGCCGCCAGGTACGGCCACAGTGAGAGTATGTAGGAAAATCTCTCCTGCGGGCAATGGACACATTGCTAAACTTTGGGGCGACTGGCTGTTCAAACTTCAGCTTCCAATGTTGGCGGCATTGGTGGCACCTCCAACAACAGTCGAACGTGCACTTGAGCCCGAGTACACTGAGTACACAGGACTTGCGATGTAGCAAAGCTTGAATAGTGAACTGGCGGCAGCCTTGACAGAGAGCTTCGCTGTCGCCAGCTCGGAGGCATGGTGCTCCGTGACCTGAGCACCAGAATTTCAGAATCAGGCTTTCACATCCAAAGCTTTCCACCATTGATTTTGGAGTTCAGAAGACTCCAGAAACTTGATTCTGGTGCTTTGCGTATACCAATGTCTGCGTGTGCTCACACCAGTGCAAAAGAATACAACTGGGTGAGTCAATCGCAGCCTCACTGGTGTATCAGGATTCGTACTTGCCATCGACACGATTAACTGGATTCAGAAAAAGGCCTGACCAAACTACCTTCTCGGTCCCAACAGGACTCTCGCATCTGCTGCTCCACTCTCACCTTCTCAGCCTGCATTCATGACACGTTGCAGACAGGACTACTCTTTGATGGCCCAGCAGCTGTCGACTCTTCACTCTCGAGCTCTTCGCTGTTGGACGAAGGGCTGTCCACGGTGCAATCCTTCAATTCTGAAGAAAACCTCATGCCCTCGAGAGATGGGGGGGGGGGGCAAACACTGCACCTCGCAGCTAAAGAGCTCGCGCAGAGCCCAGGCGCATCTACACGGGGTTCCTTCTGCCAAGATCTGCCAAGCTTCCGGGACGGAGAGGTTCACGTTCGCGATGCCCCGCTCCTGAGTTGAGTCGAGGAAAAAGATTAAAAAAAAGTGGAAGCAGAGGGGAATGAGAGGGGATGACTAAGTGAGGAATGATTTGGGGGGAAGGGACGGAGCTTTGTCGCCTGAGGCGCCTTTTTGTCCCGAAGGCGAAAGTATTTTGAGAGCTGGGGGGTTTTTTGGGAAAGGGAGGTGACGCGGATCCGTTTAGATTTCACCAGGCATTCGCAATTTGCTATAAACCTCGTGATGGCCGTCACTTTGGCAGGCGTCTTCTTGAGCTTCGAAGGCTGCAAGTGCTCACGGTTACGAGCATCGTGCATGTCGGCATCGCCATCCTCGTGACTGTCGTCACGTTGAAGGCTAAAAGTGTCGACCGTCACGAGGACGTCGAAACGTAGGGTTCGCAATCTTCGTGACGGTCGTCATTTTGTCGTGTTCTGCTGAAGCTTTCACGCGCGCAAAGTGCTGAGCGTCACAGGGGTCGCCATCCTCGTGACTGTCGTCACTTTTGGAGCTTGGCCTGGGAGTCTTCGAGTGGCCTTGACAAACTATTGTGTACTTGTTGGTGGTTGCCGTTAGGTTGCTGCTGAATTTGTTTCTTGGCTTGTTGTTTCTATGGTGCTTGCACTTGTCAGGTGTTTGTAAGTGATGTTCATGTGTTTCGCTTGTTCTTTGATGCTTATTTGTTGTCTCGTTCGTTTGGTGTGCGTTTCGTGCTAGTTGCTGTCGGTTTGTTGTTTGTTGGTTTTCTTGTTGGTCGCATGTTGCTCTTCTGTTGTTTGCCTTGATGACTTGATGCACGTGTACTGACTTTTTGCTGTTCGCTTTATGCTTGTGCTTTGTCAGTGCATGGTTCGTCGGTCGTTTGTTTGTAGATAGATTGTGGGTTGTGTGGTATCCTCGTCTTGCTTGTTGTCCATTACCCTTTCGTCGATGGTAATTCATTTGGCTTTTCGCGTGCTATTCGGTGACGTACATGTGTTGTTTATGCCTTGATGGTTCGTTGGCCATTTCGTGCTACGCGATTGTTACGTCTCATTCTTCTGCTCGGCTGATGTTGTTGGTGGTAATCGAGGGAAAACCTTCGCCAGCGCAATGTCACGCACGATTCTCCTCACGTTCCATGATCCCCCATGTTTTGCGGGTGCTTGTGTCTGCATTCGGCTTCGCGTTGCCTCAGTTGATCTCAGTTTGCTCATGAGCGCTGACACTGCCTGGCCTCGTCGATCCAAGGCGGCCCCAGGATGCAGTGGAAGGCGAGGAGGAAGGCCACCGGCAGCCAAAGAGCAACCATGAGCTCCACCTAACATGGAGAGGCAGTGAAGGAAAAGGAGATGCAGGAAGGAAGGGACGTCGAGCGGGGGAAAGAGAGGTAAATCTCTCCGCAAGAGGAAGGCAAAGGCTGCAAAGGGCTCAGAGAGCTCCGGAGCTCCGGGCCTGAAAGCAAGCGTCCAGGTAGTCAAAGAGGAGGCTCCAAACCTTGGCTCCAAAGAAGATCTGATCCTGCCTCGACGAATCGACAGTACGAACATGCAGCCGAGATCACATAGCCGGCAATGCCAGCAAAGCCGGTGCCAGAGGACCATGCCGTCAGACAGGGCTGGCACAGGGGGACTCAGACTATCAAGAGACCCATGCAAACAAAGCCCACATAACCCCCGAGCAAAACAAAAAAGACATGGATCCTTACACGTTTATGTGCGACATTCTTGATGCACGTTGTAAGACATTTTGTAAGAATTGTCTTGCTCCATCGCATGCACCAGCCTTGGCTTCGTAGAAGGATGACATGGCCAGAAGGCTGGCCTTTCAAGCTAGGGGGTCATTAGGAGGGCCGCTGCTTCAAACAAAGTTAGGCACGAGCCAGGAGAGGTGAGGCCCGGCCTCACCTATGCCGGCGGCCAGGGAAGCCATGGCGACCTCACAGCCGCAGCGTGGCATTTGTTTCGATTCGATGCCATACATGAACAGGCAGGGCCAAGGTGCTCCAAGAAGCTTCTGATAGGGACCCTGGCCCCAGGCGACCTTTCAAAGCGGCAACGGCGAGTAGCGAGTGCAGCAAAAACCAGTACGAGAGCTCAGCAAAACTTCATATCACAAAAAAAAGTGATAAGAATGATGTGGGGCGCACATTCTCTCAGAAAGGAAGGAAGGAAGGAAGGGAAGGGAGGGAAGGCATTGAGGCCTGGAGGAGGCAGAGGACCATGAGCAGAGCAATGATCCATATTCTGTACCTGACCATCAATTAGCGCTGATAGCTCTCAAGAGAACGAAACCTTAAGAAACCTTACTGTGGGCGACAAGCTGCTTGTAGCTCACATAGTGAAACCAGTACGGACCACTCAACTTCATCATCAGCGACGGCAGCACGTTGACCAGGTAAACCAGCGCAACACCAGCCTCTGAGGATGCTCCCCGTCTTTTTTTGGGGGCTGTTTGTGAAGCCAGCTTTGGGAAAAATTCTCCTCTCTTGACAACATGGAAGAGAAAGCCGACGCGGCCCCTCAGCGAGCAAAAACCTGATAGGCTATTTCCGAGGCCCGCGACCGAGTTGATCTCATTGGCGCCGGCGTTCAGCACCACCCACAAGAAGTTGTTCAGCAAACCAAGGATCCAAAAAGCCTCCAGTTCAGAGCTTGCAACGGCGCAACAAGCTCATGAGCGGCTTTGCTGACCTGCGGTTTGGAAAGTCCCCTTTGTTGCACCAGAAAAGGAAACACGAACCCCATGGCTTGAAACAGATATTGGTACGTCTGGCCAAGATAAGCCAGGGAGCAATGACATTGGAATACACACGGAATCTGCCTCGCATCCTCCTCGATGGAGGCAACGGGGCCAGCAATGGCTCCACGATGGCAAGGTGAAGGGTCGCGAGGGATCGCGTTGATATGGCTTCTACAACACAGCTTGCACAAGTTAGTTCGAGGTAGTGTTAGTGCGGCAGGATAGCTCTGAGCATGACTCCCTTTCCTTTCTTCATCCTGCTGCAGTTCACACTCCATCCAGCCCCATGCCACTGTGCTTTCCCAGAACCACCAATCTCTACTCAAAGGTCCACTCTTAATCTACTCTGGATGTCCTGTGTTTAGGACCAGGAAGAAGCGATAATGTGTTGCGAAAGGAACTTTGGATGTCTTCTCTGCACGATGTGAGCCGAAACGCCCTACAAAGCACAGCAGGTGCCGTCCCTGCTGCTTGCTGCCACACAATTTGGTACAGCTTGTCGTGCACAGTCCTCGGGCTCAGGTTTGCGACAAGGCTGAGCCTGTGTCAAGTGCGTATGTGTCGCTGCTGGCCTGAGACCAGACCGCCAGCGCAACCCGTGCCAAGCACAGGCGACCCAGATCCTCAGACCTGCGCACTTGCACTCGGCCGGGCTCAAAGCGATGAGAAAAGTTCTCATGACGGCCCCACTCAGGCCCCCACTTGTCCAAGAGGTGGTCTCTCCGGCTTTGGCCCCAACGCTGGAGGAAATCCACCTTCAAGTCAACTTGAACCCAAAAAGGATTCTACCAAGTCTTGCGTATGCTTGCAGCATATGCCTGCACACTGCCCGGCCTTGGACAGCATCTGCTGCGCTGCACGATCGAATCGCAGCAGCCGGGCAGTGCGGGACCTGGATGGTTGTGGTCGGTCCCAGTGGTCCCAGTGGTTCCAGTGGTTCCATGTTGACCGCAGGCTCGAAGATTCGTGAACAAGGGCAGGAAGACCTGCAACTTAAGCCCGGCACCATGCTGTGAAGCTGCTGGTCAGCAAGACCTCGGCATTGCCCACTACTCTCTGGACAGGGATGGCAAATATGACGATATACTGTAGATATCTATAGCTATCTGTGGCTGCAGTGTCTATCTGAGTCCCTTTCAGAACTGGCCCGGAGCAGCAGCTGTCGTCCAAGCCGGTCCATCTTCACCTGAACCATCAGAGGCCCTAGCACAAACATGCAAGAACCCCACAAAGGCACTCACATGCACTGTGTTTCAATGTACTTTCGCGTGCCTCGTAGCTTTGCCGGCTGCCAAGGGCGTCTGCGCTCACATCCACCCTGGCCACAAGGTAGATTGCTTCAGATTTGCCTTTGCCTTACAATTCGGCCCGCCCTGGGCGAAAGGCGATTTTGGAACAAGCGGACCACGATCTGGTCTCCTTCCCCTCTTCCCAGCCCCTCCCCCCATTCCCCTGAGCTGCCAAAACAATCGAAACGGCAGTCTGATAACATTTTTGCCAGTGGGACGTTCCTGGGGATCCGGAGCCCGGGTGCACCGAAACCCCGAACCCAAGCATCACTCGGCAACAAGCACACCAAGCACCCACAAGATGCACCAAGCTCACTTGTAAATGTTTCAAGGTTTCGGGCGCTGCCTTGACAGGTTCTGGGGAGGCTGAGAGTAATTCGAGGGTGCGAATGGACCGACTGCCACGGCAACAATGCGCACCGCACCTGCTCCTCCAGGATTGAAACATTGTCCAAAGAAGGTGCCTGGTTGGCTGGAGAAGTATGCATGTACATGCTGCGCCCTGCACGCAGCACGCACCCTGGTCTCCAAAACTGGCTTCTTTCAGAGTCGTTGACTTCTCACGTTGCCACACGTCAATGCTCAGAGGTGCCGCTTCCTTGTGAGGCCTTGCTCCAAGTCTAGGGCTCCCTCGGACCCTGCTCGGTAAGAACTTAGTTTCGGCAAGAGCCTCTTTCTGGAAATGAGCGAGCGAGTCCGCGGCTGTGATGGTAGTGATAACCCCCCATGTCAAACAAGCTGACTCAATCGGCCTCCGCAGCTTGCGCCCGAAGGCTTCGCAGGTGCGATGTAACAGAAGGTCCTGGTCCAGCCAGTACAAATTATCTACATGACCTGACCCCGATTCTGGACACGGTGCCGTCCTTTCGCGAACGAAGGAGCTTGGACATTTCATCGGTCTCACTTCGGTGCGCCTAAGGCCAGAGCGGTAACGACAAGGTCCCAGGGGCTGTACCCATTTCCAGCCAAGCCACTTGAAGGTGCTGCTGCCAGACGACTCGCATCCAAGAACGCAGGATTTGAAGCAGCAACGCCTGGAACAGGTCAAATGCGTCCAAGACCATCAGGGAAATTCTCGGAATCTCTGCAAAGTTCTGCACTCTTAGACTATCGACTCGCGACAGGAATCAAGACAAAACTCAACCGCGTTGAGCATGCTCGTGAACATGCTGAACTGCTTGCGATGTATTGCCTGCCGCCGTCGAGTCTCCAGAGTTTCTCGGGCTTGGCTCCTGCGCGCGTTCTTCCAAAACGGACTGCACCTGACCTGCTTTGTGGCTTGTTGTAAGTAGCTACTGTGATCTGTCGTGATTGCTAGAGAACTCCACAGCAGATTGGCACACTGGGAAGCATCTTCTTGTCACATTAACGGGCGCCTCAGCGCCTTGCCGCCCTCGACTTTCAGCCGCTGCAGCTCTGCTCGGAGCTGGTCGGCCTGTGAGGATGAAAAGCAGCCAGGGCACTCTCGGGGCCCCCCTGGGCTTTTAAAGAGGAAGATTGTTAAGGGGACCCCTGGAGATGCAACTCCTATGGACAACGTCCCTGTGAAGAGAACGAAAAGAGTAACGCCGCAGGGCGACGAAGGCCTCCCCGCACCTTACCTAAGAATGCTCTCGAATTCTAGACATGTTGTGGAACCGCACGGATGTGAAAGCTCCATCACTAAAGCCAACATGCTGACTTGATCCAGAGCCAGAGCCTACACTGGCCTCGTGTAGGCCGTCCGAAATCTTCTGAACATAGACGCCAAGAAGCATTAAAAGAAAACACACAAAAACGCTCGAAAGGGAGCCCTCTCCCGCCTCGCTGGCCTCGAGCTCCCGAGCACGTGCCAGGCGCATGGCCACGGCCACCAACAACCAGGCACCCAACACCTGGCCTCGCAACGGACTTCGGTAACCCCATTGGCCACACGCATACACTTGAATCAGCACATACGCACTTGCCATCACAGCCTCTTCCCTACAATCCCATGGGCGACCCCAGACAATCACAGACCAATTTTCACTTGACTATTCTGCCTTTCCACCTTTCACAATACCTTTCGCAGACCCAACTCTGACCAACTGACCCACTCTTTTCCTCTTGCCGAGCGGCTGATCCAGAGCTTCTCTTTTGGGCTGAGGCCAGGGCCTCCGGCAAAACACCGTCGGACCCCGCAGGGGCTCAATTCCAAGGAACGCGCGAATGTTGAGAGAGAGAGAGAGGGCTGCTTAAGAGAGGGCTGCTTAAGAGCGAGGGCTGCAAGATGCTTGACGTGCGCTTGGCCTCCGAGCAGCCGGTCGCTCCGTCGGAGAGCCTTCCAGGATCTGCAAGCTGCATAGGCCACAAAAAGCTCGGTTCTGCTCGTGTCAAAGCCGGCGCACCCTCTTTCTCTTTACCCCGTTGCAGGATACTGCAGTTGACCAAAATGAATGCGTGTGCAAATGCACCATACTGTGTGTGAGGGCATCATCGACCTGCGTGCACAGCGCACAGCACATTTCGCGTGTGTTTAGTCCTCAGCCTTGGGGGAGATATCGGACCTAATCGTTGATTATGGCCGAGATGACCAACGTCAAGATTGATGCAGCGCTGTGCAGATGAGGCGAAACCTGGACGATGGAAATTATATGTTCAGTCCTGCTGGCGGTGACTTGTCCTCTGCCTTGCAACGCGAAAGAACGGAGAGGCTCTGAACAGATTGTCCGTTGCAGCGGCTTCAACAAAGTGCAGCCTTGCGGACGCAGCCTCTTGCTCCTGAGAAACGTGCGGCAAAGTGGTGCAACGTGCTGCAATGCACTGCGCGAGGTCACCTGATCCGTTTCTCGCTGCACCTCTCTAGAGCTCTCCTGAAGCTTCTGGTGGAGAGCATCGTGCTGCGCGAGCAACTGACGAAGCTCCTCACGTTCCAAAAAAATGCTTTAGTGAGTTGTCGTGACCAGGTGCATCAGAACCTTTCAAGCCAAAGATGCACTGATCACATTGCATGGCGTCCTGGTCCTTTCTGTCCAAGGACAGCAATGTCTCCTCTGCACTGCGATCCCTCTTTACCTGCCAGTTGGTATGCGGCGGTACACGGCATACGATGCAGACATGACCGTGCACAGTGTGCATTTTTTGAGAGCCCTTGCCGAGCGCAGCACATGCGCAAGGTACTGCGCCCACGCCAGGAAGTAAGCAGAGCGCAGTCCCTGCAAGAGTCACATTGACATGTGTCGCCTTCTGCGGTCACCTTGAACTGCCGGGGCTGCACGAGGGAGATGTGACAGGGGTCATGGATGACCTCATGAGTGGCCTGGGTGCGCTGTCCACCAAGCGCAGCCAAGGAGGACATCAGAAGCTTCTGCTTCGCCTCTGCGAGAGGAGACTGGGAGCAGCGACGTTCACGTCAAGGATATCCCATGGATGTCCAATGGCTAACAGTTAACACACATGGCAAATGCCAAGTTTCTTGAGATTGGAGGCAGAGCGACAGCAAGCTCAAGTGAGCTCAAACAAAGCAAACCTGGTGGCTCCTTTTGCCCCGGTGGCCTCATCTTGCTGTCGCTGAAGTTCCTTGCCAGAAATGCTGTTCCATGCTGCTCCCTTCCCTCGCAAAGCACGGCTAAACATTTGAACATTCGAAAGGCACCAGCAGTGATACGGCTCTGTTGTCAAAGCAGAGTGCGTTCAATTTAGTAGACCAAAAAAGCAGATGCGGGACACCTCCAAGAAGAGCTGGTGCTTCTCGGCTTGCACTCGATCTTCCTCCTGCCACGGGCAACGCAGTCCATCGCAGTCCCTGCAGCACAGGCAAGCCGCGGCAAGCCGCGGCAAGCCGCAAGCCGTCACAGCTCAAGCCTCTCGCAGCTTCCTTTGATCCTCGTGAGCTTGATGAACTCGGGCCAGCTCGAGGTCGAAGACCTCTGGATCACAGCCCTGCCCTGCACGTACTGCCTCGTGTGGCTATCGACCCTGAGGCACCCCACATCCTGGTTGCCCCGGATCGCTTGGTGGTGCTGGTCCTGTGAGAGCGCGTGCTGCCGCTCCTCGGCACAAGACCCCGGTCTGAGCGGAGAAGTGGAGAGCCCGAATGGAAAGTCTGAACGGACTCCCTTAAGACAAAGCTTCGAAGTCTGCCTCCATCTCCGCAAGTCTCTGCTGGAGCCTTCCATCGTCTGTTTGGCACAGCCCAACTCTCAGGCCAAACGGTGAAGTCAAATCTCAAAGCAAACATCTACCATCTACCTGCAACCTGCAGCAGAAACGCCACTGGCTGCTCTGATCGCTCTAGCCACTCTAGTCGCTAGCCGACAGCCAGTAGTCAGTGGCCTCTCGAGCCCCAGATTTGCATTTTGCACCATCGACACACACACGCAGTCAGCTCGCAGTCCCCTGCCTTCGTTCCCATTCCTCCAAGACCATGCACGATGCGAGTTTAGGGATTCGGGAATCACGACAGCCCAGGTCCTGCCTATGCTCAACCACACTCCCGCACTTCGCAAGAGCATTGGGAACTTTTATGAGTCTGTTTGTGGGTAGTTGATGAACTTTCAAGTCCCAGAAGCCAACCTACCTCGACTCCGACAGGTCCTCCTCCGCCTGCTTGAGCTTCTTGTGCCAGCTGCTCTCTAGCTTCTCGTGGTGGCTCCTCCAGTCGCTCCTTTCCAAAGTTATGTCAGAAAATCTTGAGTCATGTCTCGAGAATACCAAGGAAACCTTCAAGAGCAGCAAAGAGCAGCAGTAGCACCCGCAAACTTCATCGCCGGGCGACTCCCTGCGGTGTCTGTCATCATCGGCATCCCGGCGCCATTCCTGGTTCCACGCAGGAAAGGGATGCCTTCCCCGACTTCCCCTTCCCGCAGTGCATGCAACTCTCCTCCATCTCGAACCGATGGCGTTCGGCAGCATCCTGGGACAAAGAGCAAATGACCAGCAAATGGCGCTACACAACAGCATGTATGAGCAGATGTCTAATCGCTCTCCTTCAAGGCTTGCTGATGCTCCATGACCTGCGACACAACTCTGAATCTGGGCGAAAGAGACATGCCGTGCCAGTCCAGCAAACACCAGAACACCAGAACCCCTCCGAAACGCTCCGGTAGGCTTTGTGCAGGCAGTCGAAGGCCTCACGCTCATGCCGCTCGCGTCGCAGTACTGCCAAAGCACGAAGCCAGAGCGCCCACGCGGCGGCCTCTGCATAGACTGAAGGGGAGTCCGCTTAGACCGCCAAGACCACACAGAATCGAACAGGATCGTATATTCCTTCCCAAAACTGAAGAAATCCTCCCACCTTCGCCTCACGCTCCGTCCCTGCCATGGCAAGGCGATCCGAGTTGGCGGCATGGCGCTGTCGTGCCTGCGCAAGCACAAAAGCTCCGCAATACCGGTGTTCCGAAAGCGTTCAAAGTTCCCTGAGTTCACCCGCCTTCCGCAGCTGTGCCTCCGCCTCGTCAAGCTGGCGCTGCAGGGCAGCGATCTCCTTCCGAGCTCCAAGCATGCAGAGCTCCGCATGCAGGCTCCGAGAGCAGCACGTGTTCCTTAAGTCATTCCTTTCCAAGCGGAAAAGCGTGGAGCCTCGGCCATGACGCGCTGGCGCCTCTCGGAGGACCGGAGCTCTGCCTACAGCCCCGAAGGCCAGCTGAGATAGAGACACATGCGACATTGGAAGCGAAGAGATGCTACAAATCACTCTCTAGGTCTCTAGGTGATCCTGGGTCGCATGTCCCAACTCCCAGCCTCCAGCCGGCGATTGTTGGAGCTTGCATCCTGCGAGTCGACTGCACTCTCGACTGCATGGGCCGTTGCTTCAAGCGCTCCTCATCTTCGGTCATCTTCCGTCCGTTTTCGGCCCAAAAACATCCCCAACAAGACAGCCTCGAGCTGCAGCAGTAGCTGGCGCTCCAGGTCGGCCTAGCGACAGGGTCGAGACAGCCGAGACGCGGCACCGCCAACTTAAAGTCAAAGTGCAGCCAACAGATGCGTGACTGTCACTAACTTCGACAGGGGCTGTTTTGGCAGGAGTCACGACACTGCGCCACAAAAAACGTGAGCGGGTTCGGAGAAGAGAGGCCTGAAGTGCGCAAAGAGATGCCACCATAGGCATCACAAGGCGAGAAGAGGCCATAAGATATTGAACGAAGACAAGGTGTGAGAGGTGTGAGGTCAGAGCCGGCCTCTCGCTGCACGGCCTCTGCCTGTCCACGTTCGCCCGAATGTTTGCTGGCATTACTTCTCACCTCTTTTCTTGTTTTTCGTCTTGCTGCAAGTTGTGCCCAGGAGCATCAAAGCATCAAGTATCACCTGACATCGCCTGCAGCAGTCGAAGTACGGAAAGCCCCCACCTCCACACGCTGCAGTGCACCGGCCAGACGATCACGCAGACTTAGAAGGCGCCAGGCACCAAACCTTGAGCTGAGGGTCGAGAACAGTACGGCAAGCCCGGTTAGGCAAACGGGACCTTTGAGAAGTTAAGGGGAAAAATGTTGGGAGAAGTGCACTGCTCTGTTTGCAGGATGTTGCAGATTTGTTGCAGGGCTTTGACAAGGTTGCTTTCATGTCCGGCCCCTCTGAGCCTCCCAGCGCCCTCGTGCGAAGCACCAGGTCCAGGGCGCCCGTGTGCATGACGTGGACACTGCGCTCCAAGCTCGACCTTCCGCTCTTTGTCAGACTCGTTTCTCGCATGAACAACAACTGCAAGAGCGCCTGCAGTCAAAGACGTTATAACAGACCACAGTCACGACACACCAAGGCACCGCTTTCTTTCGCCGGTTCTCACCAGCAGGGAGAGCTGCCGGACTTCCTGCTCCTCAGGCAGTGCACTGGAACACGCGGACAAATTCCCTCCCAACAGTGTGTGAAAACTCCGCATCTGCTCACAAACTGTCTCACTCGTTCTTGGCACTTCAACATGACATGCTTCAGAATTTCAGGTAGCCACGGTCCTTCTGCGCGAGCAGTTCTCGCAAATCGAAGATGGCTCTCAGCTGGGCTTCATGGTCCTGCTGCCTGAGGGTGCAAGTGTAGTATGTGTGAGGCAGCCGATGCTTCAGAGTCTGTGCTCTGCTGCGAGCCTATCAAGCTCCTTCTGAGTATGTTGTCAGTTTCGTGGCGTGAGGGGAGTTGAGGAATCTCGAGAAGCGCCTTTGGCTATACAATGTCTCTAATGGTATTGCAGGGAGCACTCCAGAGAGAGAAAAGAAACCGAGATAAGGAGAGACGGAGAGAAAGAGAGAAAGACAAAAAGAGAAAGAGAGAAAGAGAACGTGAGCGAGTGAGGAGAGAGCGAGCGAAAGGGGAGAGACTATGAGATCCACGACCCAGAACAACACTAAAGCATATTTGTCAAAGATCACGCAAGGCAGCACAAGCAGCACGGCACAGCCCAGAGTCATGTTTCGGCGGGCGTGGCAGGCGCGCGGGCGTGTGCGCGTGGGCACAGTCCGTGTGCCAGTCGCTGTCGACCCATTATGATGAAAAGGGTTGAAACCCCATTGACACCTTTCGGATCTTACGAAAAGCATCATGCGTACCGATACACACACCTTTAACCACACTCCATTCATGATGGAGGAGGCTATGATCGCAAGTTGGGCAATGTTTCTTCGCTCTACGCTACCGTTTAGGCTTTGCCAAAGACTATCATCACGGAGAGCCCTCGCACTCTGGGCGAGCCACCCTTGCAATTTCGATCTTGGAGGTCAGTCTGACAATGTCTGGCAGCAACACAGCACATCCTGAACACTACTGCCATAAGTCGGGCCAGGTACACTCGCACAGCTTCGTTCTGCATCTGGACAAAGGATCGCCATACACTGAAGCAGTTCCTGAGCTGTTGAGTATGTTCGATGCATCGCTGTGGACATCGCTTCGCTTCTCACAGGCGAGCTGCTTCACCCGCCAGGATGCCCTGAGGGTGCCGAAGCAGCGCTCGCGGCGCCGGAGCCGGTCCTACGCACTGGACACTTCGGATTCGCTTACACTTGCCATAACTACCGCAAGCGAGCCCCGGGAGGGAAGCCGCGGAGGGGGAGCCGCTTCGGGGGGGGGGGGGGTGTGCCTCCAAGTCGTTGGTCGTCACCGGGTTCGCCAGAACCATCGGCTCCATTCGTGCCGACGTGACCGACTCTCGAGCCTGAGGTCAGAAGTGTGCCCTACAGCTCCCTTCTGACAGCCCAGGTCCACAGGCCCTGATAAGAACTTTTCTACCCTGCTGTAGGAACAGGGGTATCCCAACAAATCGCGTGAATGAACGGAAGCCTGAAACGCCGTCACAGGCTGGCGAGGCACCGCCACACCTCGGACTGCTTATGTGGCATTTGGTGCAGGCGCACTTGGCCAGCATTGCTTCGACACTGAATCCAGAGGCGTCGGTGCAGACTCTTGACATGACTCTGGAAAGTCACGGAGCTACATCTGAGAATGTTGAGGCCATGTCTCCGCGGATACCCTGCCAGCGTCTGGAGCTGGGGGATGTGAAGGCTACAGGTTGACTGGACGAGATCACCTGAAATATCCTGAAACCTGCAAATAGATGGGACATGGAATGCCCTCGAAACCATGTCCAGCATTGTGGGGCCCCATCAGCCTGCTTGCCCCTTATGCAAAAGGCTCGGCGAGGAGGCGGACCTTCAATGAAGCAGAGTCACTGTGAAGGCGAAGATATCAGGAATCAGGGATGCTGCAACTGACGACAGAGTCCGCTTGCCCCAAGTCCGCCTGCCACTTCGGAGCTCGAAGCGGTGCATGGAGCCCATGCGCTCCTGTATCTCTGTACATAGACAGCCCACGCCGTCCAAGCAGTCCAAGCAGTGCAAACATGCAAAATCATGCCCAAACACGTGGGCTCCGTGGACCTTTTCAGAATCACCGCATGTCTTTCTTCGTGGCCCGTCCTCCGCTGGCAGGCCTAGCAATGCCATTGCGTTTACATTGGCGCTCTCATCTTGGCATGCCTCTCAAGCTGGCACAATGCTAAATGCTGAAAGAAGAGGTTTGACGGTACCTGTACATTAGCTTTGGGCTTCAATCCACAAATGCATACGATAAGGGGAGACATAGGTATTGGGCTCAGATCACAAGGCCGGAAACTGGAAACTGCCGCACGCAGCTTTGGCGGCGGCTGGAACCGAGGAGACCGCAAGCACTTTCGGAACAAGGTAATCTTCCAAGGACTTGTACTGGCAGGACTGCAAGACTGTCTGTAAGATACGGCAATAACAGGAAAGCGTGGTGAGCTGCACCTGGGTGCTTGCTCCCAGGCGGGCCATGCACAGGACATGTTTCTGGCATCATGGAATTATGAGCGGGGGCTGAGCTGCATCAGAAGAAGCACGCCCCCTGATCGTAAGCTAAGGTCGGCTACGCCTACTTAAGTTGTAGAACCTGCATCTTTTCCTCCACCTGTAAACACCGGCTGTGCCTCGATTTTCGCTCCTGAATTTGGGCATTCTGCACCGAAAGCTTTCTTTTTGCGAAGCAAGCAACCGCGGAGCCTGTGCTCTGCCAGCATCCTACAGCTACTACGTGTGGGTCTTCACTGCTCCAGGAAGCCGCGCCTCTGAGGTCCGGATTGTTCCAGATGGTTCTAGCCGCTCACACTATGAGCTGCACGTGTAGCTTCTCGCAACTGCCGTATGAGCCACTGATCCGCCGCGCAGAGGACCGGAACCTTGTCAAACACAGAGGTCATCGTGCCCAGCCTGATGCGCCAGGCAGCGGTGGAAGGCGAGCGTTGAGCTGATGGCCTCGATGAGTGGCTGCGGGTGCTGCTAAGATGCAAAAAGTGCTCTCTGCTACCTGGTTTCCATTGTAATGCTACTGGTTCATATTCTTCGAAGCAATCCTGTGCTGTTATGTACCCCGCTTTCACTTCGCAGAAGAAGTGCTTCTTGGCTGTTTCTTTCACGTACTGTATCGTCCATGCGTCCACTGGCCCACGAAGAGTCCTCCCGACGGGGCCAGGGTCAAGTTTCAATGTTGTGTCAGCACCGTGCTGTTTCACCAAGGCAGGCACAGTGTCAAAAATCACTTTTGTACTGAACCTTGCGACGCTTGAAACAATAACTCTCCCCCTCTGCTTGTGCTCTCTGTCATGCAGGTGCTCTTGGTACAGGACCTTATCAGAGCGAAGTTTTCGACACAATCCGGAGTCCGCAGGTTCGGATCTCTTCGGAGGTCCAGCCAATTCGAGGGGCTTTAGCCGCGCTCTCCATGCCGGACTTGCATTAACCGACGACGGCTCAGCTGTCGATGTTCTGCACATCCTCCACGCCTAGGACCTCCACCAGCTGCAGACATGTCAGAAAAAGTGGCACAGCAATCCGCGAAACATCCGCAACAAGCTTTTGCATGCATGTGCAAGTTCAGAGCGCCTGCGGCTGCAGATTCTTGGAGTTCGGCGAATCGAACCTGAGCAATTCACAAGCTGGCACGTGCACTGAAGTTACGCCTTTGCGACCTCATCTACCAACACACCTTCGCCACAGAGCTGATGCGCAACAGACAACCGCAGCATACCACAGCCAGACGCAGCAGATCGAGATTCCTGAAGGATTTGAGGCTCAGGCTTTGAGATGTTCGCCTTCTCCATGTCCGCGCCGATAGGGACTTCAGCCTTACAAGAACACTTTCGAGCGCTGGCCAATGAGTTGCACATCTTACCTTCATGAAACACTCTCCCCGCCCAGGCCTTGTGTGAAGCTCGCTGGGCCTCATGTGTTGAGAGGGTCACTTGCACATCGCTTCATGCATTGGTCTTGTAGTCCAAGATAGTCTAAGTGCTGGGCGGCTAGTTCCCAGTCAGAGCAGGCATAGGACATGACCAACAAGGCGTTCAGCAGGATGTAGCCTGGAGATCGGGGAGATACATCGGCATAAATTATAGTGTTGGTTTTTTGCCCTCCTGAATGGCCTTCGTCCTTTCGTTGCAAGGCTCACAGAACCATGCGCGTAAGTTGGCCCGTGCGCTTACAACAGGTCACTGGTACAAGTGCACCACCCAGCGGAACAGAACACGACCTACTAAAAGCCCGAAGCGGAAGCTGGTGATCCACCAAGGCGCAAAGGGGAAAAATCTGCCAAAGGCTGACCAAGTCCGCGCTGGAAATGGTGATCGGCCTCTGGATGCTCGGAAGACCCCGGAGGCTAGAGGCTAGGGCCGCTCTCATGAAGTGAATCAGGAAAGAATCGGCGCTCCATAGCCCCAGGTGCTGGAATCCACTGGTCAGGCCGAGAGGCACACCCACGACCCAGAGGCTGAGAATCATGGAGACAGAAACTCGCCCCTGATGTGAGTGGATGTTGCAAATTCCTTGCCCGGTCAGGAATGTGAAGCTCATGATTTACGTGGCCCAAGACTGGCTCACACTGACTCTTGCACCAGCTGCTGCAGGGTCCTTGATTCAAGGGGAAGAGCCCATCCACGACGAGGAAGAAGATGACGAACGGCCAAATCTTCCGGCAGATGACGGTGAGCTCGTTAGAGGAGCCTGGTAGCAGCCCGCAGCTCCTACGCATGCATAGCAGCTCTTGAACATCTTCTGCCTGCCATCTGCGCGATGTACTCCTCTTGCGCTGCCTTTGCTGACTCGCACGTCTAGATGCACGCTTGCTGCAGACTCAATATGACCATATAAACCATGCCCAGCCACCCAAACGAGCGCTGCATCCATGAGCACAAACAGAACTCCCACAGCCAGCCCTCCGAGGGCCACCTCCGAAAAAAGCTCCCACAAAATGAGTAGGTGGAGTAGGTGCAGCCGTTCCTCACCCGCATCTGCATGCCTTCTTGGCGGCCTTTCCTCGACCTTCGCCCAAAAGTGCCCCTGCACGGGCCACAAAGCCCATCTGGATGCCTGACCAGCTGGTGCTGTGCTGTGCCTGCTGTCTTCCGGCATCGGCCAAAAGCCCTGCGGTCCTCGAGGAACTTGGAAGAGGATGGGCACTGCCATGTAGGCCACCTTGGTGACCATTTGATCTGCTTATCACACAGCTCTCGAGCTTACCGAGCTCGTGGCCGTGTGGGCAGCCAGGGAGTGTGCACCAAAGACACCAGCGCGGAAGCAAGTGACTTCCCAGAACCACCATTCTGTCCTCCGCAGGACTCCGCAGTCGGGATAACAGGATAACAGTGGGGCGACACAAGATGACATCGAGCACTGCCGCTGCATTGGTCGCACTCGCTCAAAGATTGGCGAGAAAAGCTACTGTAACGCAAGTCACCGACGGCACCCGGCACCAGTCATGGACAGAACTCCAGGCACTGCAAGCTTCAGGAACTCGCAGAGCCCATCCTCGGCCGAGCGTAGTGATTTCACGGGCATTTTGTCAACGAGCTACAGCCTGCACCTAGGTATCACGATCGGGCAATGTCTGAAACAATGCAAGATTTGCTGAACTTCAATCAAAAAAAGCCAACAATGGCCTTGGACTCACATGCCACTAGTTGCACATTCCAGCAAGTGCCCATGCTGACCTTTACAGGAATGCAAAAGCAACCTACAAAACCTTACAGATGTGCCCTGCACGCGCCATGCTGAAAAGGCCTCAGAGACAGTCCTTGCTACCTCTCTTGCCTCAACCGCCCGCAACACCCCTCTCACGGCTTTCTCAGGTCCTCCCTTTACCACTACAAGAGATGCATCACAGACACTTGAGCACAGCAGTGATGGCAGAACAAAAGGTCCAACGGAAACCTGCCCACCTGCACACAGCCTGCACATGAATGCAAAGTGTGGGCCTTGCCGAGGGCAGCGTAAGCAGAAAGAGCGAGCTGCTACCCGCCTTTAACCACCAGGCGCCCAAAGTTGCAGAGCGACCGCATGCTTCTCACTGCAGCCCTAGCAACTGTTCTCGCGGCATCACGGACTCCCTGAAGAAGTCCAGGCAATGCCTTCGCGCTTTGTCGTGAATTCACGGTGCCCTGTGCCCATCAACATGACCGGCCAGTCTTTCTAAATGGCTGTAAGACAATGCTGTATTTGCACCAGTCCATACATGGAAACGTGAGAGAACACGATGCAGCACCGCACCACACCGCAGGGAGTTGCATGGAAACCGTATTCATGCACGCAAAGCTGCTCTCCAAGCACAGCGACTCAAGATGTGCGGAGGTGGGTCACATGGGTCCAAAGCGCGCACGTGCAGGGGCGGGGGCGGAACTGGCCCTAGTTGCGCCCAAACCCCAGCTGTAGCCTGCGTCGCTTCACCAGGCCTGCGGATTGCCAGGTACAGCAAACCTCGGTCGGTGACGCGGGGTGCTTGCGGCTTGCGCCCGTTCATGCGAAGCTTTCCCATCCTCGCCTGCTGCAGCCTGCACGGTCACAGCGCCCAAATGGAGCAGTGCGCTGCCATCGAAGCCCCAAAGGCCTCGAATGATCTCTCAACTCAGACAAGGGGGCCAAAGCACTGCAAAGCACTGCGTGCGGCAGTATCCTCGTCACATGACATCTTCGGGCAAACAGGTTCTTCGACTGGCTCGCAGACGCCCGGAAGCATCGGAGCAAGCAAATCTGACACAGAAAGCTGTCTGCCCAGCCGCTAAGCATCGGTGCGGCCGCTAGGGCCACGAAGATGTTGGAGGCAATAGTAGCAGCCGTGAATGGCCAGGCGATGCCCTGGAGAAATTCGATGCCGGGAGTCCATACAAGTCATACAGACCGTCTTTATGTCTTGATATCCTCTCATGCGGGCGGCTTGCCAGTCTCAGGGACAAGAAACAGTGACTAAATGGCCACAGACCGACATGATTGTTATGCGCATAAAAATCATGATTTTTATGCGCATAACAACTCTTGTCATCTCGGGCCTGGCTTAGGGCAAAGCGGCGGAACACCTGGCCAGGCATGTGGGAGCTTCAACTTGAACTTTCAAAGCTTTACACCATTTCACGCCTCTTGTCTGCCTATGACAGCACTGTCGGAAGTGCACGAAATGCCTCAAACAGCGCCACAGGGACTATGCTGAAGCGGAAAATCCTTGGAAGAGGCCACCAGATGCTGGGGTCTGAGGCCAAGGCGGGCAAAAGAACGAATAACAAAAAGGATACACAAGGGCCGGAAGATGCTATGGAAGTGGGAGAAGCGCTGCTATAGAACGAGCATCTGCAAGTACCGCGCAGCGTAGGATGCCACAAAGGGCTCCTCTGCAAAGATCTGTAGAAAGATGTGTAGTTTGTGTCATATTACCGAATATTACGCACGCAAAGCCTGTAAAGCCCGCCGTTTCACGCAGAGGTCAGGGTTTGTCTGGTCTGCCCCCACCCACCTGACCGAGCATGAGGAAGCACTTCTCAGCCCAACTCCAAGCCACAGCGACCTGGCTTCCAAAGGGGTCTTCAAGACTTTGCTGTTCCCTGCGTATTTCAAGTCTGCGTATGACTAGACGCACTCAAAGAAGCGACTGCGCACATGCAACCTTAGCGTTGAGGACCATAAAGCAACGTGGGGCCTCAGGCTGTATCAGAGTGAACTGAGGAACCCGGCAGGCGTCAGGAGCACGGCCGCCAGGAGCACCTTGGAGGGCCGAAAATTTGCCTTCACAGCATCTTTAAAGCTTGTTGCGGTCCATGATGTGTCCATCTTTCGCTGAGCCACTGCGCGCAGCATCAGCACGCCGACTTCACCTAGCACCACTGTGGCTTTGTCGACTGGCAGTGTGCCCTTTCTTCAGGCCAAGTCGCGGAACTCTCCACGCCCGAAGGCCTGTGCTCCCAAAGTGTCATAGGCCAAGAGAAGGCCTGGATGGTAAAAATTGCAGGGAGCTCGGGTGGGCTTCTGATCCCGCGATACATCGGGCTTCTTCCGAAACGTATCTCCCACTGCACTGGCGCTGCCCAGGTGCCGTTCACGATGCTGCGGCCGGTGAGGTTCCTTGCTCAATCGAGGACTCTATAACCCCAAGACAGCTCATGGACAACTCACACAATGTCACAAGAATTCTCCCCATCTCCATACAGGCAAACTGCCAGGAAAGCATGACCCGAGAGCGGTAGAAAGTCGAAGGCGACTTCTTGAGAACCGTTGCTTTAGCTGCTTGCGTTTTCCATTGTGCGACTGCAACAGCGTCTCTTACGCGGCCCAGCTGCCCGGTCAGCTGGCCCAGGGCATAGGCAGCCAGAGCCTGAACATGAACTGAAGCGCAGCAGAGGGAGCAGAGGGAGCAGGCGGAGCAGGCGGAGCGACCAGGGCAAACTCTTCCACGCATCTCTCCGCGCGCCTCAGGCCCCAAGAGTGATGAGACCGCCCGGGTGATCTGCCAAGGAACCTCAGCTTTGACATGGGAACGAAGGATACAAGAAGCGATACACCAGCGGTCACCAGCGGTCACCAGCAAATTCCAAAACGGAAGAGGGCCAGATCCGGTCTCCTCGTAGCCAGGGGGACTGAGCGAAGCACTACGAAGGAGAGCACTCCAGTAGCCTGCAGCAGCAGCAAGGTTCGCATTTGTGCAAGATCACTGGGCGCACAGGAAAAGACCCACCAACGGCTCATGCAAAACAGAACTGCCAGCCCCGTCTCTCTCTCTCTCTCTCTCTCTCTCTCTGCAGCTGCAAGCATCAGGCCCATCAGGCTCTCCAAACAACAACGCCGACTACCAGTCGACTACCTGACTACCAATCTCCGAAACAACTCCCTGATGAGCCAAGGAATCACAGCATTACCCTCCAAGAAGCGACGGAGGCTGTGGCGACTCGGAGCACTGCAAGCAGCTCGCTCAAAGCAGCCTTAGGTTCAAAGTGCCGACTTCAAGGACTTCCCGTATGCTCGCATGACAGAGCCCCATGATTCTCAGCCGATGTCCTCGCCCGTAGCCATCAGCAGGCAGCTGCAGCTGCTCAGCAACTCTCATCAGAAACAGCCATGGCTCTGTGGCATCTGTGTTATCTGAAATTGTTGAGCATGGTCCTCACAGAAGTGCTGGCAGACCGTACTGAAGCCTCAAGAGAATTGGAACGTAAGGACGTGTGCGAGGGAGAGTCTGCAAGGTCTGCAACCTGCTGCTGTGGGCTGATTTCCGCAGCGCCTGCATACAGAGGGCAGCAACATGATGGTTTGGAGACTGAACGGTCGCCGAGCGTGAGACAGACCCCTCCCCAGAACATCCAAAGCAATGACAAACGAAGGCAGAAACAGGGAGTGGTCTCGAGCAGGCTTTGATTTTATGTTGTCATTTTTTAATGGGGGGGGAGCGGTGCAGGACAGAGGGGTCGATGTTCACCCTGTTCATGACCATGCACCACTGAAGCATCGGCCATGTGCGTGTTCCATGCGCGATGGGGGGAGGGGGTATGCATGTATGTGCGTATGTTATACGCTTGGGGTTGGGAATGCTGCATGAAATTACCCAGAATCGCTACATCAGTCATCTGGGCAAGCGCTGGGCAAGCGCTGGGCAAGCGCTGGTTCTCATTCCAAGTCTGGCAAAGATCTCTTAGGTTTCACATTGTGGCCCTCTCACAAAGCTGAGAGGGCTTGAAAGGCATGTGCCGGAAAATCTGCGTTTGCATAGTACTGCTGCGAAGCATGAATCATGCAGCACCTCAGGATAGGCCCCAGATTTATGTTTCTACTTGACCACCACCTACAGTGCCAACCACAACTGGAAGCCAATCCTCAAGTGCTAACGCGGTTCCAACAGGTTCAACCCCCGCCCTGGACGGGCAAGAGGGGCGGACTGCCAACCACGAAGCGTTGCTGGGCTGCGGCCACTGCTGCCGTGGCCAAAACCATCACCATCTCCAATGTGATCTTATATAACAAGTGTTTCCATGCCTGGCATTTGCTTAAACTAAACACCTTGTTGCCAATGAACGCAAGCTCCAACACAAACACTAACAAACCGCCATGCCCAGCTACACCAACATCCGCGAAAACAAACTGCCGCAAGCTGGTGACAGCTAGCAGAGCTGATGATTCAACTTCCACCAGCTACCTCAGGTAGCACTGGTAGAAGGGAGCGTCACTCAGTAGACCTCGACATGGTAGCCTCAGGTCGGCCGACTCATGAGACCAGCTTCAGGTCCAAAACAATGTCACGTCTACAACCAATGCCCTTCAACAAGCTCGAAAAAAACATTGCATATACATACATATATATATATATATATATATATATATTTATGTATTTATTTACTTATTTATTTGCTGTTATTTATTTTTCATCTATATTTATATTTGTATTTATATATATCCATTTAACGAGCACCCAAAAAAAAGATCCATGACACTCGCCGAATCTTGCCACGTGGCGCTTGGCCTTCTTCATCCCCTTCAAGAACTCTGTATAGACCATGCCCTCAGCCTCGACACGCTCCTGCAAGGCTACTTCCCCCGATCGCTATGGTTATCACGCGGGAGAAGCTACCCCATCCTGGCACAAGGGCATGTAGCTTCAGGTGCACTCCTGGAAGCACTCTGCAAAGCCGCTTTCCATGCCCTTCAGGCCGCACATGTACACGTGGGTCTTGGGATCCTGGTGACAAGGCTGCAGCATGATGCACGGCAGCACCAGGCAAGAGCTGCCCGACACAACGGGTAGGGCCCCAGATGATTGAAGGATACTTTAGAGCCTTGCTGCGCAATGGTACAGCGGAGACTCCTTAACCAGATCCCAGAGATCGTCGGCGTGCTCCATCATCTTGTGCTGGACCCACATCTCCCCTCGGGGACCCCAGCTAGTGACATCTGAAACAACAATTTAGGGCATGCAAACACACATGACTCAATTATTTGCTAACATAATCAAGGCCCACATTGAAAGGAGGGGATGCAAGTGTCGTTCTACTATGATTCATCGATACCGGCAAGTACACTTCCGTATATCAGTATTACAAGTCATCTGGAGTCCAATGTCCAAGTCCAAGTGGCCATTGATCTTGTTTTTGTCGCTCTTCTCCTCGCCAGAGATGGCATAGTCATAGCGGAACTGATCCGGAAACTCGGCCTGCATCTCCTTCCACTCCTCATCGTAGAGCAAGGACTCGGAGTAAGGCACGCCAAGGAACAGCCATGCAACGCCCTTGAACTTGCCCCTGGAAACTCTGTCGTGGAAGAGATAGCGCAAGTGAGAGCGGAATGGAGCAATGCCGGTACCCGTGGCCATAAAAATCATGTTGGCCTCGGGGTCCTCTGGCAGAAGCATCTCTGCTCCTGTTGGGCCGGTGATCATCACATCATCTCCAGCATTCATGTCACAAATGTGGCTCGAGCAAACACCACGGTACACCTTCTCGGCATCAGGGAATTCAGGGTCCTTACCCTTGGGGACATTGGAGTATTCGCACCAGCCCTTGCCAGCGACCTCAACAACCCGCTTCACCACCAAAGACACAGTCTTGCTGGTCTCGTCATCCCCCGGTGCTGAGGATGCAATGGAGTACAAACGGATCTTTGCAGGAGTCTCACCCTTCTTGTCAGGACCCGGGGCGATGATTCCAATGGATTGTCCCTCAATGTATGGCACCTTGCCACCGTGGTCCATGATGACGTGGCAAGTTTCCCAGTTCACCAGTGGCGTCTTGCTGGTGATGGTCTCCTTGCTGATGCAGCTGCCCTGATACGGAGCCTTCGGGCTGAAGAGATTCCAGGGGATCTCCTGCACTTCGAGGGCTCTGCTGCGAGGCCGGCTGCTGTGGTAAGCAAACATCAAACACTTCTAAAGGCTCACATGCTTCGCCTAGCATCGTCAAGCTCAACTTACAGTCGAGCCTGCCCTCGAAGCGCGTTCAACATATCTCAACCCTTTCGAGCTACATACCAAATTGCACAATTCATCAGCTTTAGCTCAGCGTTTCCCGATGTTTCTCCTTGCCCTCAACCACTCGCACGCCCTTCTTCTTCACGGCGGTGGCTCGACGCTGCAACAACAACCCACGGCCACCCACAGCAGCGACAGCACCAACAGCGAGGGTTGCTGCACCAAAGCCTGAACCCTGACGGGAGGAAGGAGCACTCCTGCCACATGAGGAATAAAAGAATACCCCCACAACTGGGACTTCTGCATGCTTGCTTTACGAAGTACACGACTTGGACCGACGTGGTCAAGAACATTTTAGAAGCAACTTCTGGAAGTTTCACGGCGAGTACCAGGAGTCACATGCAGAATCGCTATCAGCTGTGCCACCAAAGACTTGCAAATGGGAGCGATATTGGCAGGGCAATGCATCAGCTGAACTTCCAGCCTTGACTGCAACAGTGCCTCTGCTTGGATTGGGGATGCTCGGGGAGCAGGCGATGCCACAAAAGCCTGCGGTCACGCGAGCATCACGCGACATCACGAATTTGCTGTGCTGATAAACTTTTCAAACAAGCCTCCACATGCCTCACGGCCTAGCGACATCAATTTTTCCCAGAGCCCTGCCTGAGACACAGAGCTTGCTGCAACGGCAGCTGCCGCACCTGCAACCACCATCTTCATGCTGCTCTCCTCAGTATTCAGTACTGGAAGGCAGTGAACACCGACTTGTTCACGTATGACAGAAGTCAACACACAAGTCAAGCATTGTCAAACCATCCATGCATACTCATAGTCATACCTCATCGTCAATGGGTGGGCCGACTGAAGCTACTCAATCACATTGCAAAACCGACTTGGGAGTCACACCCAGTGATCAAGCTGGTTCATGGAAACAAGCAGTGCAGCTCCCATTGCCACAATGCGCTGCCACACAGCCAAGCATCTGTCTTATTGGACATACCGCTCCACAGTCCCTCCTGAAGTTGGGCAGTTGCTGGTCTCTGCCGCTCTCGAGCCAAAACACCGAAGAGAAATAGGCAGGATGTCATGACTGGGATCAGTAGCGAAGGACTGGATCTTAACATGGCACGCGCGTGGTGATCAGTCAAAAGAAATCCTTAAAACAGCACATGAAATCACTCATTGGCCTGCTGTGGCCGCTGTCAAACCACAAACGCATTGATGCCAGCAAACTCATGGGCAGCAAGCACCATTTCTGAAACACCTCTCATGCTCAGTTGCTGTTCCTCGCATTATTGCGCATCAGATTCTGCTCAGGGGGTGACAACCAGTTTTAGTGACTGATTGTGCCACCTCTAATTGCTTTGTATGCCTCGTACTTTTCTTTATGTGCCGTTAGGCGAGGACGCAGAGTGCAGACCGAAGTTTACGTTCGATACGAGTGGCGACGGACCCTAGCTGACCTTGGGTGATTCTGCCCGCAGCTGGGATGTTGCATTGTACTGGTGGAGGATGGCAAGGTGCATAGCTGTCTTCGACGACTCCGTGATGTCCGCGCTACAGTGCGGAGGAGCTGGATATCAGGTTTTGCAGATCAAGCTGGGCTCAAAACGTGTGGCATTGCTCTTTTCTCAACTGCATTGACTGGACGTTCTGGCAACAATTTGGACTGCGGCCTCATTCTCCCGCCAAAGCAGAGTCCATGCTCCGTGAGTTTCGCCCGCCAGCCAAAGCAGCAAGGACCCCCTTTCGATGATACTTCAAACACTCGTGTCCCGAAAGGTTTGTTGTGCACGCAGTTTGTGACCCTAACCCAAAAAGGGGAAAGAAATCTAAATCACAGGGGGCCTTTTTTGTAGCCTGTGCGAGGAGCGACCTGGTGCCCGCATTGCACACGAAGGGGCTCTATGGCACTGGTAGCCCCAAGGCACCCAAAACCCCTGAACCCTGCCCTGAATACCTATAAACCCCCGCGAGCTGAGCTGGGGCTCCCGCTTCGCCACACCGTGCCTGGCCAAAAGCCCAAAGGCTACAGGCCAAAAGGTCTCGGCCGGGATTTTTGAGGAAAAGGCGAGAAGCAAACACTAAGCAAACAAGCCTCCTGGAGCTGAGACCTTCAAGAGATTCTGCGTCCCCAACACTGTTGGCATGCCGGGCTCTAAACCCCTGTCAAACCCTTAAACAAAAAAATCTGCTCTATGTAAAACCTTGCAAAGCTCTGAGAAGCCGAAAATGCTGAAAAGCCCTGCAGCCGTCAGTAGAGATACCAGGGTCCAGGTGCAGGCTTTCGATTAGGGTTGTAAGGGCTCAGAATTGGGGTTCTGGGGTTTAGGGTTCTGGGGCTTGGGGGGAGGGGTTCGAGTTGGGTTTGGGCATCTGGGCAATAGAAGGGTACAGATCATGTAGGGTTTCGGGTTTCCAGGTTCGGGGGCTCGGGGTTTGGGGTTTCGGGAAATGCATGAGGCCACGAATTCCAAAGTTTGCCTGACACTTCGGAGCTCAAAGCGCTGCATCGAGCCACGGTGCTCCTGCGGGTTGGAAGACCACATCAGAGCACTGTATATATATATATATATATGTGTGTATATATGTATACGTATACGTATACGTACACGTAGAGGTATATGTATATGATGTATATGCATATGTATATGTATATGTGTATGTGTATGTGTATGTGTATGTGTATCTGTATGTATATCTGAAGCACATTGGGCAAACACGAGGGCTCCGTGGACCTTTTCAGAATCACCGCATGTCTTTCTTCGTGGCCCGTCCTCCGCTGGCAGGCCTAGCAATGCCATTGCGTTTACATTACATTGACCTTCTCATCTTGGCATGCCTCTCAAGCTGGAATGCCAAATCCTGAAAGAAAAAGGTCTGACTGTACCTGTATACCTGGCAATAGCACGCACCATTGGTGCTTTGGGCTTCAATCCACAAATGCATACAATAAGGGGAGATATAGGTATTGGGCTCAGATCACAAGGCCGGAAACTGGAAACTGCCGCACGCAGCTTTGGCGGCGGCTGGAACCGAGGAGACCGCAAGCACTTTCGGAAAAAGTAGATGTTCCAAGGACTGGTACTGGCAAGACTGCAAGACTGTCTGTAAGATACTGCAGGAAAGCGCTGTGAGAACAGGAGGGAGCTCGCTGAACCTGAGTGCTTGATCCGGGGCGGGGCCATGCACAGGGCTGCATCAGAAAGAGCACGCTGCCTGACCTTTACCAACCTCGGCTACACCTGCTTAAGTGTTAGGACCTGCATCCTTGCCTCCACCTGTAAACACTGGCTGTGCCTGAGCTCAACATCGATTTTCGCTCCTGAATTTGGGACCATACTGCTTTCTTGCGATTTGCTGGAAGGTGCTGCGCGCTGAAAACTCTTTTTTGCGATTTGCTGGAAGGTGCTACACCGATCTGCATAACAACCGCGGAGCCTATGCCCTGCTCGCGCCCTACGGCTTCTGCGCGCAGGCCTTCACTGCTCCAGGAAGCTGGGCCTCTGATTTCTGGATTGTTCCAGATTGTTCCAGCAGCTTCACTAGCGCTTCGAGCAACTGCCATGTGAGCCACTGATCTGCCGCATGGAGGACAGGAACACCCGGAACATTCTCAAATACAGAGATCATCCAAAGAGTCGCCGCGCGGCCCGGCCTGATGCGCCACGCAGCGGTGGAAGGCGAGCGTTGAGTTGACGGCCTCGATAAGCGGCTGGAGGCGCTGCCGCCTGAACATTGCGACGCTTGAAACGATAACTCTCCCCCTTTGCTTGTTGCTCTCTGCGATGCAGGTGCTCTTGGCACAGGACATTATCAGAGCGAAGTTTTCGACACAATCCGGAGTCCGCAGGTTCGGATCTCTTCGGAGGTCCAGCCAATTCGAGGGGCTTTAGCCGCTCTCTCCATGGCCGGACTTGCATTAACCGACGACGGCTCAGCTGTCGATGTTCTGCACATCCTGCACGCCTAGGACCTCCGCCAGCTGCAGACGTTTCAGAGAAAGTGGAGCAACAGTCCGCGAAACATCCGCAACAAGCTTTTGCATGCATGTGCAAGTTCACGGCGCCTGCGGCTGCAGATTCTTGGAGCTCGGCGAATCGAACCTGAGAAACTCACAAGCTGGCGCGTGCAATGAAGTTACACCCTTGCGACCTCATCTACCAACATGCCGCAGCCAGACTGCAGCTAGACCACTGCCGATCGAGATTCTTGAACGATTTGAGGCTCAGGCTTTGAGCAATCGCCTTCTCCATGTGTGCGCCGATTCGGACTTCGGCCTTCCCAAAGAACATTTTCGGGCGGTTGAAATTGCATTCACCGCACCTTACCTACAAACAGGGCGCAAGTGCTGGCACCCTGAGCAGGGGCTTGGCCTTAGTCACATCCGGTACTATGTGAGGTACGCGATGTGACGGGATCACATCATGGTCATCACCCACCCGTTTAGTCTGCGAAAGCGAGCCTGAAGCAACTGCCAAGTTCATCTCAAGTCGACGCCTCCAGCCTCGTCCCCGATTGAACAGCAGCATAACGATCAACCGGTTAATTTGTGTTTGTAAAACTACATGTGCTTGTTTTACAGCTTTCATCGTTTTCATTTGTGGTGTTTTCACTTGGTATGGGCCACAAATTCTCCGAAACCATGCGCTTGCATAAGAATAAGCGAATTTACGTGATTCCTACAGCACTTATTGATCTCACATACGCTTGCCCATTGATTCGTTGTTGTTCTCACTGTCCGCGCGTGGAACGGGCCACAGAGTCCCTAGTTTGTACTAGTACATCTACTTAGCTCTTACAAAACTCGTGATTTCATAAACGGTTGCCCAATCTACGCTCTTGCAGCAAAAGAAGCACATTCAAACGACGAAAGAAGGGCAGTAGGCTCAACTGGAGCGGTGTGACAAGAACGGGAGCCTGCCAAGCTCAAAGTATTCGCTGGAAAGTAGGGCCAATGTGACCGGGCATAGCGCCTCCAAAGGTTACGAAAGCTGTGCCTTGGAGGTATTAACTCCCAGACACTGCTCTGGCCCCTATGGAGGTCCACGACAGTTTGCGGTAGGCTCAACTGCCATGGTGTGACAAGAACTGGAGCCTGCCAAGCTCAAAGTATTCGCTGGAAAGTAGGGCCATGTGACCGGGCATAGCGCCTCCAAAGGTTACGAAAGCAGCGCCTTGGAGGTATTAAATCCCAGACACTGCTCTGGCTCCTATGGAGGTCCACGGCAGTTTGCGGTAGGCTCAACTGCCACGGTGTGACAAGAATGCGAGCCTGCCAAGCTCAAGGTATTCGCTGGAAAGTAGGCCAATGTGACCGGGCATAGCGCCTCCAAAGGTTACGAAAGCAGCGCCTTGGAGGTATTAAATCCCAGACACTGCTCTGGCTCCTATGGAGGTCCGCGACAGTTTGCGGTAGGTCAACTGCCACGGTGTGACAAGAATGGGAGCCTGCCAAGCTCAAAGTTTTCGCTGGAAAGTAGGCCAATGTGACCGGGCATAGCGCCTCCAAAGGTTACGAAAGCTGCGCCTTGGAGGTATTAGATCCCAGACACTGCTCTGGCTCCTATGGAGGTCCACGACAGTTTGCGGTAGGCTCAACTGCCACGGTGTGACAAGAATGGGAGCCTGCCAAGCTCAAGGTATTCGCTGGAAAGTAGGCCAATGTGACCGGGCATAGCGCCTCCAAAGGTTACGAAAGCAGCGCCTTGGAGGTATTAAATCCCAGACACTGCTCTGGCTCCTATGGAGGTGTGACAAGAACGGGAGCCTGCCAAGCTCAGGTATTTGCTGGAAAGTAGGCCAATGTGACCGGGCATAGCGCCTCCAAAGGTTACGAAAGCAGCGCCTTGGAGGTATTAAATCCCAGACACTGCTCTGGCTCCTATGGAGGTCCACGGCAGTTTGCGGTAGGCTCAACTGCCACGGTGTGACAAGAATGGGAGCCTACCAAGCTCAAGGTATTCGCTGGAAAGTAGGGCAATGTGACCGGGCATAG